GGCTATTCTTTTGCCGCAATAGTCACGGATGTGGCCTAGCGGCTGATATTTCGTCCGGCAATCCCAACGTGCCCAATGCCAATGCAAAATTTGCCGACTTGACGACATTTCTGGGTGCTTCAATTCATCCGAATTCGCTTTATAGGGCCCCTAAAATGGAGTTCAAATTAGTTTAACTTACATACATAGTAAAGCTATTCTTTTGTAAAGCAGCGGCCTTCTATTCAAAGGCATTAGATTCAAATATCTTTGTGACGCATGTAAAAAGGAACATGCCTGCAACAGAGAAGGGTTCACGCTTCTAGACAAACGCACACGAGACGAACTGGTGTGAAGCTAAGGCTGCTCGTAAAGCTTGTACCTTTGCTAAAACAGGCCACACGGATGAATAACTTTTACAGCACTTCAATAATGACGCAAGAAACCCATAATAAAACACTAATTTTAGGTATAATTTAGTCCTGTACGGGTTTATTTACACAGCAAAACTGTGATATTGGGAATTACGGTGTCAAGTCCATGCTTAAAACAAAAAAAAATTAATTTCGAATAGGAAAACTGGTAGAAATTTGCCCAACATCCACTCTAAATTTTCAGAATATCATTTTTTGAAATTCTAAATAGGTTTCAAGAAACATATAGTACTGCTGTGGTGGCCCACCGTTTTATCAAATGAGCCAAACACCTCTAGATGCTACTGTATGAGGAAACTGCATTATCGCGTAAGACGTCGATTGTTGACGGAGATCGAGGCTTTCGGGCCTCGTTTATGGGATAAGCCGCAGAGGCTACGCCTTCCTCGTCTCCGGCCTGACCCAAATCTTGGTTCCCATAGGGTGCAGTGCCGAGGACCTGGCAGAACACCTGATGTCGCTGGCTTGGCGAGGAGAAGGTCGATGTGGCTTCGTGTCTGATGAAACTATGGTGCAGAGTAAACCTCTTTGCAACTGATATTTTAATTTTTGGGGATCCACGATACTCCAAGATTGATCATCGTTGGTTTTTGGCACTACTTACAGTAATTCCCTAACACGTGTTTTATTACGCTTTTTATCAGGTCAAGGTAAACCTTGACTTGAATTAGTTTACACTTTAACAATTCACTCGCACGTGGCTGACGTGAATACAGCTCTCTACACGAGCTCTGGCCGTGTTTTTGCATTAGCGTGGGAAGATCGGTTTTAGCGTCAACAAGGAATCTGGTACCGTTATCCGAGCAGGTGAATTTCTTTTGTTACGGGCAAATGTAACCTTCATTCACCTGTCATTGCCGTAAATTTGTATCCACTCCTGGGATAATTGTACATATGGACTGTCCTTATGTCCTTATTCAATGCCCCCTTGCATCTGCGGCAGAAGCATTTTAACTTTATCTTAGTGCGCCGTACGCATCCCATGCATACCACATAACATTTCCCACGTTCTGCTTTTCTGGTTCGCTGTCTGTTGGGGATCCACGATTCCCCAAGATTGGTTTCTAATTCTATTTACATAAATTTATCAACATTTGTTTTGTTACGCTTTTATTAAGTCAAGGTCAACCTTGACTTGAATTACTTTCGATTTCACTTCTTCTCTGCACGTGGCTGATGTGAATAAAGCTCTCTACTCGAGCTCTGGTCTTGTTCTGGTATTTGCCTGGGAAGGTCGGTTCTAGCTTTCAGCAAGGGATCTGGTACCGTTATTTGAGTGGTCTTCTCTATTGTTATGGGCAAACGCAACACTGCCTGAGCGCCTTTTCTTTTGTCTCTCATTTTTAATCATTCTTGACTGTACACTTTTTATTAATTGCTGTGTTTCTTTGAGAACAACAGATGTAAAGCAGATTTATAATTGTGTAAGTTTTGTGGTTACGGGTAGGACTTCTGTTTTCAAGGTGGCGGCATCGATGTATTCGTGTAAGCACGAAACTCACATCTGAGGAAGTAAAACTGGTTCAAAATGGAAGAATTATAAAAAAAAACTATTTTTTAATATCAAGTATTGGTTTATAATTAAAAAAATTGAGATCATAGCACTGCTGCACAAAACATTTGAATTTGGTACAAAATTATTAAATCACATCAAGGCCGATTAAAATGACGCACTTTTTAATGTGCATGCTCCGAAAAGGACAAGTAATAATTTGTGTTGGTGGAGTCGGTGCGTTTGATTCTAGACTTTCAGTGAAAAATGGTAATATTCGATGCTTTGGTTGATCGGATTGAACCTGAAAAAAATGATAAAGAAATATCTACTTGAGAGCGTTTCATTGTCGGTCATCACCTGCAGGATATGATTTGTTCTGGTTTTCAATGTACGTATCGTAAAACACCGGCCATAACGTGTCTTTAAGAGGTACATAATATTATCTGTAAATGTGGAAAGCCGTGCAAGCGGTTCATTGATATTCGAAACCTTCAGAGCACCATTTTTAATTTAATGTGGTTGAGGTAATTTTAGAGGTGGTTTTTTTGATTTCGCCTAATTTTATCGAGCAGCTCCACTAAATTCCCTATCGATGTTTGAGTAGAGTTGCCCTACTTGAGGCCTTTGGTTAGCCGTCCCACGAGGGTGCAAAGGACCACAAGTCGAATTTTAAGTTAGATCAGTGCAGTCGCCTGTCTGAAAATAGCACACTTTCAAAGCCTCCCTGTTGACCCATAGCGTGGTCCAGTAGCCAGAACAAGTCTTGACAACAAAGAGTGAAGGGTGGTGAAAATGAGTGAAACGCGCTCAAAAGACTTTTCCAGTAAATTCAAACTAAGCCACTGATTAAGCAGAATTATGCAAGCTGGATAAATTTCTTGGCGTGTGGCAGCTGACGCGGTATGGAATATTGACGTCCTTACAACTGAGCTGGTTGAATGGAACTCTCGGAATTTAAGGTGTAGATTTTGTGATGCCAAGGTCTTGCTGTCACCTGATTATGAATGAGTTGTCGCTTCCATTGCAAACGACTTAATTATCACATCGACCTGAAAATGGAAGAAATATTTGTGCCTTCCACCACTCAACTTCTCATTCTATGGGCCACCGAAAAGAATGGATTGTAAAGTAATAACCCACTACACTGATTCCTCATCTACTAACTTTTTCCACTGCTTAAACACTACTACTACTTACTATTTATAGGCAAAGAATCACCGTGATTTTGTCGCAGAATGCATTAGTGCGCGCCCTATTGTTAGGTTTTGGGTTTTCTACTTCAAAGAGAATTCAGCGTCTGGGTAGTTTTCCTAAAAAACTAGCCAATTTAGTTGACAAAAGCAATTTTTTTTTCGGAGCTCTACAAAATACTAAGTAGTCTTATACAAAGTAATAGGGGTCAAGGGTGACTTAATTGCACTATACACTTAATACACACGGGGTCTTCTTTAGTTAAGTGGTAACTAACCTCAGGAATAATGTTTAATGCTTGTAGTTGGAAATAATTTTGAAACAAAAGAAGAAGGCATCGCAGAAGCCAGTCAGAACGGGAAAACCCCCAACCTGTTGTCTCATGCGCCGTCGCATTATGCTGTGGTCTGCATTTGTGTCGATAGATCAGATTCCAGCTATCAGTCCTTTCTCACCCAATTGGGCATGCGTGTAATTTTGTATTAACTAGTTAAGCGCAAAGTCTGCAATATTAGTGAAGCAATCTCTCTACCATGTGGAATTAGCCTCGTGCGTAATGACGCATCTCATTTGCCCCATTTGAAAAAAAACGTGGAAACGGCCACGATGGGGTATGCTGGTTGATACAAACTCAAGCACCGAGTTTGGCACTTATGCTTACTCCTTTAGGTTCTTATCTCGGTTAAGTGCTTCAACTATAAATGCAAGTTTAAATCACGGACCATTACAGAATTCACTTTCAGTGTTCATAAAAAGTGGCAGTATTATTATAATAAGGTTTGGTTATGAGGACAATTTCACTGGTTCTAAAGAAGTTAATAAGAGGCTTATAGTAATAATTTGGAGTCTGGACTTACACTGGATGCAGAGTTACTTCGTAAATAATTTTTTTAACAAAGGCACCAGTATTATTGTGCCGGTCTGCATCCTTCTTGCCAAAATTATTTTTTTGAGATAACTAAGGTCCTTACCTATTACCCGGATTCCATCCTCAAAGTACAAGCTTTTCTCCCATGGCTTAATCTGAAATAGACGCTCAACATGTTCGATCCCGCCATTTAAATTAACAGAAGCGTTGGAAAAATGAAACACATGAATTCAGAATTAATGATAAGTTTGAGTCCCTGAACCCATTCCGAGGTTCGATTTAGCCTATGAAAAATAGAAGTTTTCCAAATGCTCGATTGCAAGGCCACATAACAGTCAGCCAGTGTTAACTTAATTTCACTAACACTTTCAGTTGATAAATTAGGAAAAAATCCTATCACGAGGATAAATTATCATTGTCTCTTACCCATGACAATAAAACCTGGTGACTATGGAAACAGATGGTGCTTTTCTTTATATGATTTTAATCACTCCTAGCCTTCTGCTAAATATATCAGCGTGTATTTTGTAAGTGTGATGATCTACTAATTAGCCAGAAGGGAAGTAACCCCTGTTCCGACGCTATAAGCCACTAACTGCCCAACAAGGATAAAGTCTGCGGAAGGACAGAGAGTCAACCGTATATTCGAGAACTTGACGAAGCCGTGTTAGTGTGTGGGATTTACGCATGTGTATTTATACATCGGACGTGTGAGCTATGTATGTGCTAGCATCAAGACCTAGGTGTGAGGATAATCCCTGTGAATGAGGAGGCAGTTGAGGATTCGTGCGGCTGGCGACATGCTGCGAAAAGGGGAACCCCGTGTCGGAGACTGGAGCTACCGAATTTAGGAGTGTAAATAGACGCAATTCACAACACGACAATTTCGTCATCCATCATTCAGCACATTTGTGTTGAATTGAAATTTGGTTGTGAACAACACTAACTTAGAGTTGGTGCGTGCTAAACTGAAACAGGCACGGGGCTAATTGAAAGCACTGTTTTTTTAACGCTCTGAATTGCTCTGTGTCTTCTAAAAAACCTGCTCTGGTAACACATCCGACCCACGAGATGGGTCACTGTGAGCGATTGAAGCAGCCTTTAGTTGTCGGTGTAAACGTTCTGCCATGTCATTTGACTGAGGGTGGTAGGCGGTCGTTCTAATACGGTTCGTCCCTAAAAGTCGTGTGACATTTTCAAACAGATATGATTCAAACTGAGTTCCTCGATCTGTGGTGATGGTGGATGGGACTCCAAATAATGCGATCCATCCGTCCACGAACGTCTTTGCGACGGTTTCAGCAGAGATGTCTTCCATTGGGAATGCACCTTGAAATCGGGTGAAACGGTCGACGTAAGTCAAAAGGTAACAGAAACCTTTCGAGTGCAGTAAGGGTCCAGCAATGTCAACGTGTACGTGATCAAACCTGGTATCGAGAACGTTAAAGTGTCCAAGAGGAGTTTTGCTGTGTTTGTCTATCTTCGAAATTTGACAGCTTAAGCAATTTCTAGTCCACTGTGTAACATTGCGATTCAAAGCAGGCCAAACATAACGCCTTGAGATCAGCTTCCATGTTGTACGCTGACCAAAAGGAGAAAGACCGTGAAGGGCTTGGAACACTTGGCGTCAAATCGGCTTAGGGACGAAAAACGTTGCACACTCGTTGAAATGGCGTAGACGACTGCACGTGTGGATTTATTTTTTTTCGCGGAACGCAATACTTTCCTCTCTTTAATATGCGATTTGTAAAAATTTAAATTAGAGGAACTATGTAGTATCTCATTACACAGGTCGACTTCCGATCAATGAAACATTTATACGTGTGAACACAGAGGAAAGTAGCAGATACACAAACGAGGAATTATTTTACCGGTCTTATTTAAAACATTGGTATGTTTCATTCTCGAATCCCTTGATGAAAAAACGCAAACTGCTCCAAATATTTCCTCTTGAAATTCGCATTAGGTAAAAGGAAATTTCGTGTAGCATAGCAGAAAATAAGTGTTGTCTTCATTTCAACAAAACGCTAAGATGTCACTCTAAATTTTGATTTTCCTGAAAAGGATTGATCAGCTTTTTGACAGACTCATCCTTGAAGCACTAAGGGGTTGCATGATTGAAATTGTGCAGTTCATTCGGCTGTTGAACTTACACCGTTCACATCCCCCAGATAGGGCGTGAAACCTTTCCTAATCAAATTGAAGTGACTCATTTTCTAAATGTCGTGGTAGGAAATATGCGTTCAGAACTACGCAAATAAACTGCTTTTCTTAAATCTTTTGTTAGTGGCGCGAATTTCCAATGCCGACCGGACCTGTGGTTAGCTCTCTGACTATTACTGTTCTAGTTTATACTATTTTTAAATAATTTTTCGGTTTTTACCTTAAACTCATGCAACAGACCTACCGTGTAAAAAAAATCGCGAAAAAAAATAAATCCACACGTACATAGTTCCTCTAATTTAAATTTTTACAAATCGATATCCATGTTGAATGAATGTCTTGGAATTCAATTAAGTAGCAGGTTATAATCAGTAGTATAGACTGATTGTTTTTGATTCGTTGAATCAAGTTGTGATTCTCACATTCTAATAACTGTTTTCATTCTCTGTTGGTGAGGATACAAAACATCAATTCAAGATACTCAGCTTTGCACCAGACTGCTAAAAAGCAAAATTCAACTGCACTTTTGTTTGGAGACTGCGAATTATAGAGAGCTCTGTGTGATTGAGGCGTCTGCAAAAGAAAAAAAGTACTATTGCCCATCAAGAAATGTTCTTCTTGAGGCCATTTTTACATTCCTGTTCACTTTACTTCAGTTTCACTCTGACTACAGACTCGTTAGAAGGTGAATCAAGCATTAAAATCCCTTTACAAATAAAATTTCCTAAAAATAACTCCAAGCAAAAACGGTCATGTCACTCTAATACATTAGTATTAAATGATATTTCAGATCACTACACAAATTACTTATTCTCTCATGCCCATCCCCTCTGCCGTGGTTCCAAGCCGTGTTTACAGATCGATAGCTCTAAAAGTCTAAGGTGTAACAACTCTGCTCGATAGCTGGTTCAAAGTCTCGTAGGGCTCCATTTTTTGATATGTTGGAGCCATTTTCAACGGCGAGACAGGACCTAAATGCTTTAAAATTTTGGCAAAAAATCTAATCTTTAACTGGGTAAAACAGCAACCTGTTCTGTCACAGGTGAGAGACATGCTGTTGCTAAACATATACCTGGCTAGTCTGTAGTTTTTGCTTCGTGAGAGGGCCAGGATGTGAATCGCCTTGAGGTACGTTTGACAAGACAAGCGGCCTGTGAAAACATCAGCACTTGGGGGGAAGGGGTCGGGGAGATTTCTAAAAAAGCACAAACCAAAGCTCATGTACAGGAGTTTGTGCCCAAGCCAAACAGCTGTTTTTTTTGATCATGTTTCAGAAATATCGACGAAATCGAATGCATGACAATTCTGACCACGCCATTCATTAAAGGGCGCATTGTCCAAAGAAGGTCATCATCCAAGGATCAAGTCATGACTACGTCCAAAACCAATAATACGTCTAATGACATAATTTGTCTTAAACGTCCGAAATTTAGGCAAGGAAAATGGAGATTAAGACTAGAATTCTTTGGTAGTCGTGAAAGTTTGTTTCTACGAAAATAACGTTGCCGTAATATGATATGGACGTGTGTATTTCGAAATAAGCAGCAACTAGGCGATTAGTACGAAAGTTTAAAAGTGTTTATATAATTCCCTTTTACAATCAAAGGAAGAAGATGTACGTGTGCGCCAGCTGTTTGCAGACGTCACATTGTCACAGCGTTTGAACCTTCACCAGGGAAGTATGGAAGGCAATTGTCAGTGCCTTCTCCCCACCATTTCAGTTCATGTGTTTCAAAAACGAGGCAAAAAAGCATCTACATGGGTAGGAAAATTCCGGCATGAGAGACATGAAACCACTTGAAACATTCACAAACTAACTAAATACAACGAATAGGCTAAAATTCCACACTTTAGGTACATGCATTCTGTGCACAAAAAGCTAGGGAGGCCAATCAGGTTGTTGCCATCATTTAATTGGTCCCAGCATGGCCCGACAGCACGTTCGCAGATTCGATTTAGGAAAACGGAGGCAGCGAAAGGCGCAGCCGTGCAGGCATGGATTTGAAGCTCGCAAGAGCAGTTATGGATATACAGTCTTCTAACTACTCCATAACTTCGATCCAACGTTTACAAAAGACAGGATTTGATTTTGATCGATTGTCAGGCCAGATAGTTTGCAAACTTGTTTCCCGAAATTTCGGTCTTGGGCTCAAAATCCTTGTTTCGTGCGGTATCCAACTTGCCTGCGTGGTAAGCACCAAATTACGGTTTTTAAAAATTGCCTAAAACAAAGAAAACCTTTATTGAACAAAAATGCTGACTTGCGATTTTGCATTGCCAATTGCCCCATTCTAACGAGATAGCCATCGATTCCTGACTAAAGTGGATTTAATTGCATTATGAACTCTTCTTATTAAAATTGGATTAAGCTAATTTAAAGGACATTTATTCTTTGGTCTAGATTGTAAAATTGTTACTTAGGACGGTCATGTCAATCTGAGTTGATAAGTTTGATGGAACCTGACGGTGATGATGTAACGCAAATCTACGAAGCAAACTTGATTTAATCGAACGCATGTTTCATAATCTTCAAGGACAGGGAAACAGGCGACACACCGCTAATTTTATTAGCAGCAGAAGGCCTTTGCGGTCCTGTGCGCTACTTACTTGCTCACCTGCCTGTTGAACACCTGCTTCACGCAAACGAGAGCAAGCGGTCGGTCCTCTCGCTCCTATTATCTCGAGGTCACGGTGACTGTGGCTGCCTCGAGGCTCTTTTACTGCGCCTCCCTCTTTCCGTCGGAATCCATCCTCACGAAAGCTGCAATCGTATTGTACTCACAGTTGCGGACATACTGGACAGGATCAAAACCTCAGAGATGGACCGTGTTGCTGGAGTTTTCAAATTCTGGATTTCGACTAATTTAATAAACCTCGAAAACACAACTGAAGGTAAAAGAGGTGACAATCACGCTTGATCACCAACTACATAGAATTGCGGTCATATCCGACCATTTAAAAATTATTTATTTTTGATGTCTTCGAAAGGGTTTTCAGATGTTCTACTCTTACTGTCGTCTAATTTAATCGTGCACAAAGTGATCTAGAGCCTTTTACAACCAATTTAGAGACAACCGATTCGGCAGAGGATCCCAGAATCAAGATACAACGAAGAACAATCGGTGTTGTTGTTAGTGACTGCTTGGCAGGCTGGAAAAACACCACGGTCATCAGAACCTCGACTTTCAAATGCATCCAAATGCTAGCTAAACTTCATATCCTGGGGCGATTAAGTACGGCCTTTCTGGAAAGTTGTCGACGGGAGATAGAGGTTTCACAGACTCTTGATAGACAGAAGCCCCTGGAACCAATACAAATCAAGCAACTGCAACAACTTCAAGAAGGGTGAGGCTGGTAGAGTCTGGACGTGATGGATTAACGCTTCAATTTCTATTTAGATAAGTTCTAAATGTCCCTTTGGCGAAGTAATGCTAGTCGCATATACTGGGATGTTGATATTTGCCATTCCATTTATTCCTTTTCTGTAAATAGGGGATTTATACGCCTTTGTTAAACTACTTGTGAGGTTTCTTTAATGCCACTTTACTTATGAAACATAATCTTGAGCAAGTAAACTTCTAGGCTTGGAAATTGTATTTTCTACATGACACTGACGTAGAAGGAATTTGACAGCCTGTAAATAAGAAATCGCGAGTTCAATATAGTAACTCCCTTTTCTCTGGTCCCCGAAATGTTCAGGTGATATGAAAAAAGTTGGAATTGAGTTTTTATACGGAGAATGACGAAGGAAGTCGATGTTATTTTTAACTTGACACTCTTGGGTGAATGTCATGATGCGTGAATTGAAAAATGTAGGTGAGGGCAACTTCAGCTGTCCTTAAAGATCAACATTTCCAGCATTTCTTCTCTTCCCTTTTTTTCACAATCTGTTTTTGGAAATTGAACGAAGCCATTTATGTTCCTTGCAGGATTGTGCACCTCATAGATGTTTTCACACCGATCCCTCCACTAAAGACTCTGACGATCCTGAGGGTCCGACGTCAGCTCCAAAGGGCGATGCTGTCGGCCAGCGAGGAAAGTGCCCGCGATGCCAACTGCAAAGCCTTTTTCCATCATCAAATCAAGGAACTCAACTTACCGATGTATCTCAGCCAAATGATCCTTCTGCAGGAAAATGTACATTTCTGTTGATTTTTTTTTAAATTCTCCTTCTGTACAAAAACTCATTAAGGAAAAACAGCCCATTCTACAACGTGCTGGTGTCATGTGGGATTGCGTGGTTCTTCGTGTACTTTGGAGTTTAGGCATTCGTGTGAACTATTTCATAAAATTTGATTTATACAGTAAGAAAAAATCGATCTGTGGATGTGTTATCATGCAGTCCTGGTGCCAGAAAGGGTGACTTGTACAAAAGTATTCCGATGTAGTTACGGGTGATCTGCACACCTAATACAACTCGAACTAAAAATGACGTAAAAGTGAAGCGTAGTAACGGCCAGGATTTTAGTCATCCATGAACATGGAATAACGACTGTGTCCAGAAAAGCCAGCAAGTGTATGTCTTTTAAACAATTACAGAATTCAACTGATTGTGCAGCTTCCAGACCGGAAGCTACCCTACTTTAAACCTAATTTATTCTATTGTTCTTTGTCCGTAGTATATTATCACACTTAAAAAAATTAAAATTTAGTTCGAATTAGTTTAGCAGTAGAAATTGCGTCATAACACGTGAACCCAGTTCTCGTGTGATTTACTACCGACACATTCTACTATACACAGCCGTAAAGATTGTAAAATACACACATTAGCCCTAGTTACTCAAGTTGCGAAATGAAATTGTGAAAAGTAGCCAACCGGTTTTTAAATTGTTTGGCGGTGGTAATGGATCGGTGGACGTTTGGTTGCACCCAAATTAGTTATGTTTCATATTCATAAAAGTCGCAAATTAATGACTTGATAGTGGTGTTTACAAGTACAGTTGCAGGTTTTGGGGAAAAGGATCATGAAATTGTGCTGGCAGGCTGTACAAGTTTTGGTCGTCGTCAGATGCTGCCACAGGAAGGAACATTGAACATTGGATTACCCTGACATGTATGCAAATATTCAAGTTAGCAAGCAGCTGTCAGTGAGGCGTCAACTGTTACCGACACTTCGCTATGCAGGGCTTGCCATTTTCTATACCACTGACCACTTTAGTCTAGAGCAAAAAATGTTTGAGGCAGTCTCTTCAGGAACTGAATGAGAAATTACGGGAACCAGGCCTTGTGTAAGCTGTGCTTGGCCCACGTGGTCCTGCAGGAAAGGGGAATCGGTCGTAGACCCTTCATGGGTGCAATGCCAACAGTCCAGCCTTGAGGCTCGACCATCATCAATCCCGCCACCTGCGACTCCCAAATTAGCGATACATCTCAAATTAACCTCCGCCTTGTCTCTCGAATTCAGACATCCCTCCTATGCACCTTAGTGCTAGTCTAATGTTAGATTTACACACGGGATTTTGGTTGGGCAGTATTAAAGAACGCTAGTCGAAGCAGGCGATAACACAAGTTCCACGTCAATCAGGCAGGTAAGTTTCTAATTTTGGAAGAATTCACAATTCCCATTGCTGTACAGTGACACCTACTCATTTTAAAATAAGTGAGATGAAATCGCCAATTCGCCTTACTGTTTTTAGCAGAAATCCAAGATGGACAATTGAAATGGTCATAGTGATGGAGAAAGGGCTACCAGATTGTGGGTGTTCGGCATTGCAGTGACGGGTCAAATGTAAGTTAATTTACGTACTTAGCAAAATACCTTGAACAACAGGCCGGATAACACCACACCGACTTCCCCGTTCAACGGATGTTTCGCGTGGTTTTATCAAAGCTAGGCAACTTCAGAATTGAGCTAATCTCGCCTTGAGCCTATACCAAAGTATTTACCCACGAAGCATAATTCAAAACAATTAAAAACCCGTGCCAACGAGTGGTTGGGGGTGCGAAAACGCAACTTCAACCAACACTAAAACTACCACTGGAATATATTTTTTTTAAAATAGTCCGCCTGAACTAGGATGGATTACCCTACCTTGCAGACCCAAGGACAAAAAACAACGATCACCTGACGAAGACTATCTTGAGACAAGTTTTCACACGTGAAAAAAAGGGGAGTGGATGCGATCCCGCAGAACCGGAGGGTTAAGATGTAGAAAAAGCATAAAAGCGTAGAAAAGTAATGTACAAAAGTAGCGTGTGGGGCGTGTGTGTACAATATATCTACAAAGCAAAAGTTACCTCTGCAGGCAAGCAAATGAACAACGCGTGGTCCGCCGCCTTGGCCTACAGCGACGTTTGATTGCTGAAGGTGATTGAACCATAATCGGAATCTAGGAAAAGGCAAGAAAAAAGACCCTGTTGGAGTGCCGACTGGCAACAATCGACACCTGAAAAGCCCGCCTCACAACAGGTCTCAGTGTGCTAAATGATTGCAAACACTCAAATCAGTCCTTTCAGTAACCTAAGTTATTATTGCAAGAAACAAACTCGGACATGCCAATGTCCCAAGCACACAACATACATGTAAAGGACAACTTTCAACTACTCGCATATACAAGTTTTCCTGTGACGTTGGACAACGTCGGTTTAAAGGACGCCTTGGGCCAATTGGCGAGTAATAACGATAACAGAAAACAGGAAAAAAATATTTTAGTTTACTTCAAAAGCTACCAGTCTCTTATGATTGTGAACAGTTAGAAGTAGCAGAAAAGAACCAAACAAAAAGCGACTGCCTGATTTACCATTTCCTGCCACTTTTCGTAATACGACAGACAGCAGCGACTCACCATAGGAAGCCCGAAGAAAGAAATCAGAACCCTCATAGAAAAACGAAACTGTAAATTGTTTGAAACTGACGAACTCTGCAACTGTGAGTCCGTAGGAATTGCACCATGATGTCAGGGCCTTCTCCGTAGGCAGATAGGCAACGCCTGAAGGGAATGCAGAAGAAAACACAATTATTAACACGTCTAAATTTTTGCTCTGGATGTTTCGTCGTTCCATGTAAATGCCTCACTTCAATGGTCGCCAGGCCCAAATTAGACAAAAAATGGGCATCAGCATATTTTAGATTGTCCTTAAGTCAAGCAAATAGCTGGACTTGAATAGGAATCTAAATTTAATGCTGCAGAAAATGGTAGACGCATAAAACATTAACGCCTGTCAACGACTCACAACACAAACGAATATAGTTGTCAAGTGAACCACTGGGAGATGCATACCATCTACACAAAGCGAGGATCCCATTCGCTCCCCGTCGCTGGCAAATTGGATGAGCTGTGACAGCAGCGCCTCCTTATCCACGGCATACTCAAATTCCGCCTCCTCTTCGCTCAACGGCAAAACTCGCCGCGGCATGCCAAGCTTCTCTGCCAGTTTGTCCGCCTCAAGGGGGTCAGTCAAGTCACCCTCGAGAAGGCTGAAAAACATGCATTTACCTCCTCGTTAGGCCAAAGGGAGGGCTAAATTCTAGGGTTATTCAGAAAGGCAAGCATAACAGCTCACACCTTAGGCAAGCTTGTGGTCGCATTATTCCACAATTTCGAACTGACATGGAACCTTATTGAGGCAAGACGAAAACTCATTGTCAATAAGAATTTAATTTTAACTGAAAACGACCTACATTTGATCCAAAAATACATAAGTTAAATTTGCTAATATTGCAGAAATAATTTCATCATGCTCACTTGTTTTCAACGTCATCCTGGACTGGGTAGTCGGCAAGAGCAACAGCCACTTGATTCAACAAAGTCTCATCCTCAATCGGTTCACCGTCTTTGGAAAATATGGAAATCTTCGTACCATTAATACAATCTTCTTCTTGTCGCACATACAAGAGAGTTCCTTCGGGAGTTTCAACAAGTAACTATGTACACAAAAATAATTGATTATTCAAGAGAACATGAATAGGTCGTTTGATAAAGCTTAACGCACCATATTATCGTTGGAGGTTGGAGCCGAGTGTAGAGGAGTGTTGGTGTGCTCCGAGCCTTGAAAGGGAAAGGCAAACGAGTCCATTAGCTGGGAATCAAAAGGAGCACTTTCGACCTTAATAGACTGGCCGAAGTATTGATCCGTGGGAGTGAGAGAGGGAAAGGAAGTCTGGCTAGTATCCGGATCAGCCTTTTCCACAACACCAGAAGCAACCCAGTCAATCAGTATTTCTTTACTGTCCTCGGTTAATAAGGGATCAGGCACAACGTCAGATATTTGCTCGCTCTTACATTCCACCTTAGCACTGCTGATGATCACTTCATCAGCAGGAGGTGCGGCAGGAATTACTGTTTCCTCATCTGTTATAATGAATGCATTGGGGTCCGCAAGGTCCTCGTTAGGGGCCGCCATTTTTCCAACAGCAGAATTGACTTCTACTTGAGTTGTCTGCAAAAGTTAAAAAGTTCACAAGCAAATCACTTTGATGCAAATAAAAGATCGACGATATCGAGTTGGTAACTTAAACTTACCAACATGGCATCTTTGGCTTCAACGTGACCATGAAATTCGGCGATCTCGAGAGGAGTCATTTCAAATTTATTTTGGAGACTTAAATTTGCGCCATACCGCATAAGTACCTGTACGACGGGATAATGACCACGTTCAGCGGCCCAGTGAAGGGCAGTCATTTTTAAGGTATCAACAGCTTCAAGGTCGGCACCGTTTTTTAAAAGCAACTCCACAATGTCAGCGTGCCCTTCTTGTGCTGCTAAATGAAGGGGGGTGCGGTCCACTTTAGTCCTTGCATCACGACTGATACCAGCACTGAGCAAGGCTTCACAAGTGGTTAAATGACCATTCATGGCAGAAAAGTGCAGAGGAGAAATACCCAACTAAAACACGAAATATTCTTTGCAAGCACAAAAAGTATTGAGGCGTTTTAGCTTCAAATTAGTACGGTCTAGATTACAAAATTAAGGAATCATGAATTCGCCACTTGGAGTGTCTGCAGCGACTAGGAAAATCCAGTTATATATAAAAGCATTTGTATAGTTTCGATCTATCAGAATTCGACCTGAATAGCAAAATATGAAACAAGAATTTAGCTTTATGAATAGTTAAAAGCCATAACGCAGTCATTGTATCGAGAGTAAAAGGACACGGAAATGGGATTAGAGTAAGGGGGAACCAGTTATCGGTGTAAACAGTACAGATGAAGAGCTCTAAGTATATATCACTAACAGTCTCGAAGAAAGCCTCTTGCAGTAGTAGCTCCAAACATTATAAACTATAATCACAGGCACTTAAGTGTGTTTCACAACCAACACGTTATAATAACTGGGTTTAACCTTAGGGTCTTGAAACATCAACACAGGCTGTTTTATTCCGTTACTAAGCTAATCAACATAAGAAGCACCCCAGAATTATGCCACCGATCACGAATGCCTATCCCTCGTGGAAATTAGGATTCGAAGTTGAAAGAAAGGTATTCATTAACATCAAAGAAGAAACATGCAGACGAGTGGTAAACAAAAATGGGCTTTAAAAACAATTAAACAAACGAAAGATAGCTAACCCAATCTGTTGTAAACGGTGCTCCACTGTTAATGAGACTTCTAACTTCTTCAACGTCACCATTTCGGGATGCATCAAGAAGTTTCTTCCCAAGATCAACTAAAGACATAGCTTGTGAAACATTTGAGAAAAGGCGGGGATCATTAGGTGAAAATACGAATTGATTGATATCGTCTATCAAAAATAAAGTTGCAAGACTGAGATTTACCCGAATCCATCACTTAATAAATGATCATAGGATAGAATCTAATGACTGCTCGCTCATTGGATAACCAAAGCACTTTTAAATGCGATCAGTTTTTAAAAGCATATTAAAAATCCTTCCAATTAACACATTGGAAAAATTACCAACATAAAATAATTATAGCAAAACAGCATAAATAAATTACAAAAATAAAATAAGGCCAGAATTATTAGTGAATTTTGATATTTAACTACTTCGAGGCGTGCGAAACTAAAAGGCGCGTTTTTATCAAATTTGGTAGACCAAATAAATTAAAATTTTAAATTAAAGGCTCTAAAGTGTTTTCGTAGAAATCGTTATTCTTAAAATTAATTATTCGGTTTTTAATGTAATGCTCAACAGTACGACTGCTGACATCATACATTTGCTAATGCTTGCTAATCGTGAAGTTCTTTTAATAGATATTTAGTAAGTGAGTGGTTATCAGCCTAGAATTTTTTCGCCAGGATGTTTGTTATCGCATTTTATAATACAGCTAATGTTGCCATGAGAATAAAAGAAGTTGCAGGAATTTTTTGCTATGGTTCTGGACTGCTGCACGGTCCCATAATTAGCAGCGAATTCTAATTTACAGCACAGGAGACCTTGCATATAAGACATTTCCAGTGAGTTTGCATTAAAATCTGTAAAAACAATAACTTTGCAGTGAATTGCATGGAATCTTTTGGAAATGACACGTGTCCATTACATGGTCCCAAAATTTTTCCAAAATTTACATAACGAAATATTTATTTGTATTTGTTAACCAATAAATTTACTAAATCTAATCTGCTGCTTACCAACTAGGGTTAATTTTAAACTTGTTAATTGAATAGACGACAGGATAACCATTTGAAACGTCTCCCGTATTAAAAAAAACTCTTAAAGTTCACTTACATATCCCGAATCCAAACCATCAAATGGTTATTTTGCACTTGATAGCTTTTCAATTGTCTGTAACGATGACACCCAAAAAATGTAAGCGTGTGAATTGCTTGTATTAGGGTGACTTAGTACTTTTCCAGCACAAGGACTAATAACAAGTGGCTTTAGAGTCTCAGCCACAGGAAATTTGCAGTATCAAATTTCGCAATTTATATATTCTAAAGATAACTTGTCCACACGTTTTTAAAGTCATTATTACAAATAAAATGGCAGTGTGAAGAGAGATATTGTGTAACTGTAGAGTAATTTAATTTATTAAGCATTGCTACTAAGGCAACTTTGCGAACAGGGTATATGTGTAATGATGTGAATTTAAACATTCTGCTTAGATAGAATCAAATGTAACCAAACACACTACCATTTTAGATTTCCTGAAAAATGAGTTAATTTATGATTTAGATGGTTAAAAACCTATAGCAATTTTGTAGCACACGCTGTTGTGCTACTTCACAGGCCTACTAATTAATCGAAGGCAGAAAGAGATAGACTTACATCGATATGGATAAAGTCACAAACATATTCGCACATGTTGGTAAGATAGAAGGAAAAATAAGCTGCGATCATTGATTGTCATAAAATGTACAAAAATGTCCACACATCAAGCTCCTAGTTTTAGATGATTTTTTATGTAAGTTGATTATTTATTAAAGCGGCAATAATTTTGTGCTGGTCATAAATTTATGTCTGTACGTCATTATTTGTAAAAGAGTACCCAAATGATACCTATTTTAATACACAAGGCTCAGACGAGACATCAAATTTTGCAAAATGAATGATTATCACATGACGAGCGCAGGATGTTGAGGAATTCGATGGAGTATTTAGAACAACTCCAGGGCCGACGGTTTTCGCGGTGAAAACATGACCTAAGAGAGAGAAGTAATGCAGATAGCGCGTGATTTAACTAATTTCTTGATGCAGTATTATAGTGATGGAACAAGGCAGCAAATAGTTTATATAGGATCGAGAATTGTCGATCTCAGCTACATGACGTGTGTTCACACCTTAAATAATTCGCTGGCTATCGCGGTGTTCTTTTGCTGCTCGGCTGAAGGACAAAGAAAACGAATGCATATTTCGCAAAAACAATGGCGTCTCCTGCCCTCTTAAAAGATGACGAAACTCTGTCCGTCAACAGAATTCATCATTTTATCTGCAAAGCGATGATGATGCATATTTTTGACAATTTAACTTTTTTGGAGATCATCAATATTGACTGCACATAACAGTTAAGTGCAGGCCTAAGCATAATTAAACAATGTTTCATTAACCATCACTTTCCTCAGATAAAACTAAATTAGGGCTTTGGCCACAGCCTTCTCTTTAGCTTGAAATGTCACTTCCGCCTTCTTCGGGATAGAAAGCTTCATGGAAATCATTTGAAATATGTCGGGAAAGGCAAACACCTTTTCAGCCATGTACTAAATTAATGTGCATAATTTTAAAGCAAATCAACACTGGAGAGCTCTGAACGCTTCCATTTTCAACAAGATACATTGTACGGAAAACCTTAGATTGCAGTTATGCTTAAAACACTGCATACTATCTTATAAAAATATTTTAAGGGAACTGCAACTAAAATTTAGCAAAAAAGATCATCGCAATGGATAAAAGTAATTTTGCATTTAATTAATTAAACCTGACCTCTAAGTCGCTTTCTAAAGTGCCGCGTTGTCTGAAGAGTATGGAGAACCTAGGTTTGTTTCGAGTCAACCCATGTGTTAAATCAGTATTTATGATATATACCAACATAATTAATTGATTAAGTTTTTCCAGTTTAGAGGTTAGGAAGGTGCTATATCACTACCATTTTGTGTCATTTGCCGTTATGTATTGTAAGTATTATCATGAAATTATCCAGCCTATTTCGCGTAATTGTTCCCGTGTAATCTCCAATTAAACCAAGGTGGTGCGTTAGCGTCTGCAGCTCTAACTGTATTTATGATTTCGACTTACTGATTTTGATACAGTACTTTTGCTTAGTCCAGTCACTCAGCAAATTTTCATGAATTGATCAATAAATACTCGATCATTCATTTCATTTGTTTATAAAATTCAACCCAAAGGTTACTGTGTTTGTCCATTAGTCTTTTGGCTTTCTTAACTTATTGGTTCATTGTGAATTTAGATTATTTATTAACGGAGTGCATTTTGCGTATTCTACAAAAATTTTAAACACGGTTAATTAGTATAATATTTAAAATGTTGGCTTAGGTTTTTACGTGTAAAGACCAAGTTCGTGATTTTCTTGATTTTACTGTGTCATCAAACTTATGTTATCAAACTTTATCATAATACATACTGAGCTAATGATTAAATTGTAGACGCCCTACTTGAAGATCTTCGGGTGACACAGCAGCACGTTCTTCAGCAGAATTCGCCAATTATAACTACTAATGGAGATGATTCATCGTTTCGATCCCAATTTTGGTCACAAAATGCTCCACATCAGGTCGATATCAAGCATCAGTCACTAACTAGCACGAGTATGCCTCGTCGCCCGCTTCAAGAAAACTTGACGAAATTGGATCGTATGCTGCATGATTTGGAAGAAGTGGAAGTACGAAAAGGTGAATATGGAACACTATTTCAATTAAATGTTTCACTAGTTAAAATGCTAGATCCGGTCTTTACCTAACCCATCGCATAATCCATATTATTTTCCGAAAACAGGCTTTGACATTTCGAAATCACCTGACAGAAAGTCATCGAGTCGGCTGAAATACATTAGTATTGATAACATTACTATTTATGGAAAGAAAGTCCTATAATAGTCCACATACTCCCAACCGCTCAAAACTTTAATTAGTATAGTTTTTAATTTGATTAACAGACTTTATATCTAAATATTTTGGCTTTAGTCTCGTGGTTTACATATTTGCATTCGTGAAGATTTGATGGTACAGACAATGTGGTGGCTAGTACTATATGTAAACACGATCATATAATGTGGCTTTACGTTAGATTTTGCACAATTTTCCTCCATGTGATTTCTGAGAATACCTTAAAGTCACAGTGCTTTGTGCTAGTTTTTTTGTTATTGTGATGCAACTGAAAATAAATGACATGGTTTGGAAATTCTACCCTTAATGACTTCCGGTCGCTTTATGCATTCTGTGTGGGAGGTTGATAAAATTCCACGCTCCATATTACGAATCTCACCACCTTTTAAAGTGTTTACCAGAGTTGCTATTCGAGGATTGTGTTTGGTTCGTCAGGTTCCGTTCACTCCAGTTATCAATTAGATTATTAATTTTGATCTGAAAAATTAATTTTTGGTGGTTGGTCGCCTTAACACTCAAGGCTGTGCCGTTTTCTTTGCCTCTGCGAGCGTCATGTCATTACAGTTGTCAAATCGGTAACAATAAATTGCTTCTAGGACACAGTGCTTAAACTCGAATTCTACTTGCCTCCGTAGGCTGCTCTGTCTTTCATTCTGTTTCCTTATATTTCCAATGTGGCTTTTCCTGCGACTAAAAATACGGTGCTGCAAACATAGTTTCCTCGGATTGCTAGCAGAAGAATCTAAACTATGCGAAATGCAACAGGTCCCATAAAAGTTGAACAAAAAATTTATCAGGTATTTAATGTGCATTGCTTTTTCTGCAAAAATCGATTATCTGTGTTTTTCTAGGTACAACCAATTACGTTTTCTCGGCAAATTTACTGACTCGAAAATTGGTTCTTTTCTTTTCCCATCGAATTACTGATTTAAAGAAAACTCAATATAGCATGGGATTGAGGACATTTTGTCACACTGTCGTTTTGGTTCCTTTAAAAGAGGCAGCAAAATTAAAGACCAGTAGGGGAAGCTGGCCTCTTGTTGTTCCAAAGTACGCGCGCCTGCACCGGCACCCTAAAACGATTCCGTAGGTCCCATTGGCAGCCAACTATGTTGTGCACAGGCTCGTGTGCGTGCTTGCATGCAGTGAAGGGAAGCCAGTCGTGGCTCGTATTTGTGCGTTCGCGTTCATTTGCGCTGTGCCTGATTCTTGCCATTTAAGTTTAGTTTTCATTAAATGACGAAGTGTTTTGGCCTAATTAACTTAAGACTGGGACTGATGAATAAGCAGTATAAAAATTGCATACGGTTGGTTCAGCGGGTTTTCATCGTAAACTTTTCAAACCCATATTATTTTTTCTCCTTCTTTGAGTGTAGGTAGTATTTCTTTAGAAATCCAGGCACGATTTTCTGCTTAATTCTTGTAATTTAATTGGGATGGGGCAAATCGCCACAGTAAACTTTAAGTAAGAATCGTGCTTTTAAGGGTGGTGTCTGAATTCCTTCAGCATCCAAATGAACTGCATCTTGTTGTACAGAAATTCTGACTAATTTTAATGCCTCAAAGCTACTTGAAGTTTTTCGTTTACCTAAAATACCGGTCCCCCATATGCTTTTGTAAACATGTGAAAGTTTAACCTCAAATACGGGCGTAACCTGAGCACAAGAGTCGGGTCAATTTTCTTATGAATAGGATTTTACTATCTAGTTTTTGGACTGTTTGTTGTGTTCACATAATCTGTGAACAGTTTAGAGGTGTAACGGCATCATAAAACATTTACAGCACGAGTTCCATCATTGTCGTTGTTTGTGTGAATAAAGTAATCTACCACTCTTGCCACATCGTATTCAGTTCATGGACGGCATTAAAAAAATCTTCTGTCATTTTCCGTCTTCTGATTAATTTATTTCGGCCATCAGTCGCTGCTCAGTACCCTTGCTGTAATATTACCGAGCAAATTAGTTACTGGAGATACACAACAAAGAGTACCACTTGTAAGGTTCTGAACTGAGAGATCTCGTTTGGCTTTAATTATTACCTCTCATCTGGCAAAATATTTTTCTATAGTCAATTATAAGAGGGATGAAATGTATTATCCAAGAGAATTTCGCAGATTACTGAATTAAGCCACCCTGAAATGTGCCCTTCCAAGATACGAAAATTGGGAAATTCTAAAGACCGAGGTTAATATTGTTGTGACAAACTGTAATTGGTCCGCTGTTTTCCTAATCGCAGCCAAACTGCCCAGAATAATGCTAATCGATGACCTGTCTAATTTCATTTTGCGTGACCTTTCAGTGATAATATTTTGCAATATAAAGTGCCACAAGTAGATCGTTCAAGTGGATTGTCATATGTTAAAAAGACGTTAATTCATTCTCAATGGTTTCATTTTCCTCAAATACCCAAACTTAAAGAAGTCGTTCAGCGAAAGTGCAGGTGTAGGTTCCCCTCCGGCATAGTCAGCCATTCTCCAAAGGCGATGCAAACCATAGTTTAAATACTCCGTCACCGAAAGTGTTGTCTTCAAGTGAAAAGAGCACCTAAGCGTAAATTCACCGTCACTATGGATCCTACCCGTTTCGGGTGTGTGTTCGGTACAGTTGCGTGCGCAACAGTGAATTTACCGATCACTAGGTAGACCTTAGACCGCGACTCTGAATCTTCTTGTGTAAGCGGTTGTTTGGTTCGATTTATCGCAATATAAGAAATATCGCGAATTGTTTGGGTGTGAACAGAGCGGTCTGGGCCTACGGAGCAGTCTCATTAACCTTTTACACTATCGATGAATAAATGGCTTTGAATCAATCATTTTCCGACGTACGTAGTTTTGAGTCCCCGGGACCTTGGAAAAGGCGACTTCTGCATTTGCCCCCGATGACCTCCTGCCACAAATGTAAATTTTGGCGGGAGTGGAATTTATTGGACTTTCACCGTCTTCATGTAAAATGCATACGTGAAAATTAGTGAGTGAGACCGTCAGAGGCCGGAGAGCAATTTGCTCATCATCTAACAACAAGCCTGAAAACGCCACCACTAAACCGAATCCATTCATGCCGGGCATTATGGCTAGTTTGGTTGCAATAAATGAGGCCGACCAATTGATGTCACTGTTGTATTTATTCGCTGAACGGCATTTGGGCGGAGGCAGGCATGACGCACGCCTAGCCGAGCCACATCGCAGCCCACGCGCCTTCCGACGGAGCCCCGCCGGTCGGCCGCTTCCCGTGCACTCCCGAAAATGCCTCTTTCCTACTAATGACTTTGGAGGTAATTCGATGTCATCATTTTTAGTTGAGGGGTACAACTTAGCTGCCTTTTCTTCCATTGAAATTTGACGTGGCTTTGGACAAACTTTTTGCTTTAGCAAAAAGCCACTTGTTACTTGGTCTTAATTATTTTTTTTAATGAAACAATATTTTTGTTACTGTTATAAAAACAATTTCGCCAAATCCAAAACAATCAACGTGATTATTTTTGCTGTCCGTACTCGCCACCAAGACTCTGATATGCAAACCGTAAAGTGCAATTTGACTCCACGTCTAAGCCATATCTTACCATTTGGCTGCTAGTGATCAGATCTGGCACCTCGTAGTATTTCGACGCATATTAGTTTCGTGCACTAAAATTCTCATCAAAGGCTTGAATAACAGATTATTATTATTATCATGCGTGCACCACTGTACTGTTCTAGAATTATTTAGACTTACAGCTCAAGCAAGACCTGTTTGATCCTACCTATTTCTCTCCCTGCCTCCTGTTCGTTTGGCACTTTGTGTTAAAATAATGTGCAACCCTTCGTGTTAACCTTTTGCACTCAGTGGTACGTGTTGCCAAGCCCAACTTATCATCGTGCTCTGATGCTTTGAGATCTAGGTGATAGTTGGTTAACTGAAATTGCCGCGAACCTCCTGTGGCTGCTGTTAAACGAGAGGCTGGAACAGGAGCTTGTTAAAAGTCAAACCCTGGGTATCACGCAGATGCCTTTGTGAGCTTTATTGTACCACGTTGCTGTTTGTGAAATTGCTGGCCCAAATGTCTGTAAAACCTTCACACATCCTTCAAGTTTTTTTCTCAAGGCAAGAAGGTTTATTCATGTATTGGTGTTTGTATTCCTGTCTTTCTTGCGCATTTCGTACACACTCAGCATCACTCTAAAACAGACTGTGTAAACACATCAAACGGGAATTGAATTTACCGAAATAAAGTGAGTTCATCACCCGGCCATATTTGGAGATAGGTTGTGTTTTGAATATCTTGAACAAACACCTCGAGGATGATTTGCTGCAAAAATTATGGGCGAATACGGCCGCTCAAATGGACTGCAATTATTACCATTACATTTTCAAAACGACGCATAAACGTTCTTAGTTTTGCTTGGAATATCAAGGCACTTACAAATCAAACGAGCCTATCCGTGCAGTCCACCTTAGCATATAAGTTAGCCTACGTGAATCTAGCAGGCGGCTTTCAATTACAAGTCATTAGCAGGCTTTTTGCGTGTTATCCTCCCACATCAAAGTCACTTACTGATTGAAAGTTTGATGGCTTATTTAAATCGTTCTAAATTTTTGTTATGTAAGACCACCCATGTCGTTATAAATTCATTTGAAGTGCTATCCAAACGACTAGCCTTTCGTCAGGATGAAGCCACCCAACTCAGGCATGATCTTTTTTCATAGCACCTTCGTCTAGAAAATGCTACATTTGCTGTGCTAACCTGAAGGTACTGTAGCTGTCTGACTTGGTTGTCTGCAGTCACAGGCGACAAAGAGGGCCCTGGAATTGTTTGCGTGGACTTACAAAAGGTGATCTGTCTAATACATCTAAAAGTCCACTGGTGCCACCTACCCAATCACTTAGGTTTACCAGAAAGGTGTGACTTTTTCACTTCAAAATAACAACCGCATTTGGAGAAAACGGGCACGTGAGCCAAGCACACAAGCACACATTTGTATCTCACTTGTCATGTATGCAAACTTCTTCAATGATTTCAAGTAGCACTTTTTGACAAGCCATCATTCATTTTTGAGTCGAATAAGCAGAAGTACAGGACTTGGCAATAACTTTAATCATCGGTCATGTCAGGGCTAAGTTGAGCCAACAGTATCTTTTTTACTTAGCCTAAGGTTGCACAGTGCAGAGATTAATTACAACAAAAGCACCAACCGAAGACGATTTCTCTCGTTCACTAGGCAGTAGATTTTGTACCCACATTTTATATCTTAAAACATTATTTTTGACTCAGCCGTGTGCACCTATAAAACCAGAATTCTGGGACAACAAAAGTCCAGTTTTCACTTGAAATTCAGTAGATGAAGATGATAACGACAAAGTAGACACGAGTGTTAAAGTACCTTAGCCGTTTCCCGATGTGACTTGCAAGTCTACTGTCTTGTACCTGTCGAAATCTGCATAATCAATCCGGTTAGCCTTTTTCTATACTTAAAGTTGGTCAGCTCAGTAATCGACAGTCCCATGTCCCATCAGTTACCTTTTAATCAGTTTGATTTCTGTGGAATCCAGAGCTCGGTGGTATCACTCCCCGATACCGAATTTCTGCGTGTTCTTGGCATTCGTGAACTGTTAAGGAGCTTAGTGAAGCGACCAGATCAGAGTCCTATCGCTGCGCTTTTGTTCAGCCTCAAAAGTGGTAGCCACACCTGACACCAGGATGGGGGAATTTTTCTCTGCAAGTCGATCTCCCAAAGTATCATGTTTCCCCAAGTTATATTTCAACACAAAATTTCTGGTGTAAAGCGACTTTAAGCGACTGGTCATTTAATGGAAAAGCTTGCATGAAAAATTCTTTTGAATTCCGTTAATTTTCAGATTCGACAACAAATGCCCATGACATAAGGTTGGATCATGTGATTTTGATAAATTACTTCTGTTTATATGGGACAACTGATATTAGGTGGATACAATCATCCAGGTAATGAGAGGTGAGGTTCCAAAAAAATTTAGTAGTTGTACCGACCATTCCGCTTCTTGTAATCCAGTAATTTTACCAATTCGCCAATCTTCTTTGCATTGGAAGCTAAAATGTACAATCGTGGGTGGTAGAATAAAACGATTTTCTCCAAATCGTAATCAGTCATTTAGGTGTCATTTTGCGTTGCACATAAGAAATGGTAGACAAGCAATTTTCGGTGTTTTCAAACCTTATTTCCGTCAGTGAAACGGATTGTTTGGTCACATACTTTCTTTCACAGCAATATGATGAAGACCTCATTAAATGCTACTGGAGGAATTGTTTAACATGGTCTCTCATTTCACACATTCTGGGTTCGGCTTACCGATGCCTCGGCAAAATACCATGCAAACCACAGACACCGGACATAGTTGTTGCAGACTTGACACATATTTCTGTCTCTCTGGTCGGTACGTTGTCTGCAAAACTCTGCGTTCTGAGTGGTCGTAACGAACTGCCAAGCTTTTGACCGCCATAATTCATCATTTCAATGGGACAAGTGGATACTAGAGCGTCGTATGCTTAATTATAGCATAAGCACGGTCGATTCTGCTTGCAGACCATCTGTTGTAAGACGAAAAACGCTTTTTACACCCTGAAGATTTTTGTGTTATTGATTTCGCTGAAGTCAATACTAATGGTGATAGCTGAGAACAAAGACAAATTGTCATTCTCCATTAAGTAATTTAATTGCTAATAGTTAAAATAATCCTTTGATACCGTTTTATTGTTACTACTGAGTTTCTTGAAAGTGCAGTGAGCCTTTCAATTTGCTCCTAGCCTGGTATTTGGCCGGCAAAATAATTCAGCACCGCAAGTCTTTTGCTGTGACTGCTGGTGCACGTGTTTAGAGCTCTGAGACTTTCGGATTCGCCACGTCCCTGCTGTCGTTTGTCTTGTAACAAGTCACCTCCAGCCCTGACAAAACGGACCACCAGCTTTGTTTAGGCATCCTGTCACAAAACTTCTAAGCACGACGCTCGGCTTGATCCTGCCTGAAGAGTGTGCATTTTTAATCGCAATTATGGCATCTCATGTTTAATGTGTACTAAGACAAGGCACGTGGGCTATTTCTTACATGTCCGGCGTGCTGGTCAAGTTTGTTAGCTTTCAATGACGGCCAAATGTTCAATTAACTTCACGTGTAGTCTGGAACAAGTCGGTTCCAGCCTAAAGTTGCACAAGGAAAGAAACAACAATGTCGATGTCTTCCGAGGTCATCACTCTAACAGGAAGGGTTGTAATGTATTTTGTCCGATTCTCACGTTCTCACTATGGTGGAAAATGCATTTTTTCTCACTCCGTAATGCATCACACCCGTATGAATAGCTTGTCTGTTGTCCTGCTTCTAATGACCTTAAGAAAGGGTTACTGAATTACAATAGGGTCCTAGGTTTTTGCAATGCAGCTTTTGAGTTACTAATAACGCATATAGATAGTGAGAAATCGCCTCAGTGCTCTAATTTAACAACAGGTTTGGAAGATTTTAATGTAAACTAACTAAAAGTGCGCTTACGTCATAACTAGCATGCTGAAGCTCTGACCTTGGCGACAAATTTAATACGTTGCTTTGGACCCGTCAGAGAAGGGACTTTAGATTGGAGATGCGGTGAGTGGTTCACAAGATTTGGACTCAGAGACTTGTCGCTGGACAGTGACTCATGCTTGTCCGCCATAAAATGGAAACCGCTTGGAGAAGTTGTTGTGGCAGACGAAGAAAAATCAATCTAGAAACTTCCGTTGCAAATGGCTATTGAGAGGGACCAAAACACCAAGAACTCGGTACTTTATGTATCAAAATTCTCTACTTTGGTTTGCGCTTTCCATCCTCTCTACTTCATCCACCGTTATGTTTGGCATCTTTCCCAGACAAAGCAAAAGTTTTCAGCTTACGAGGAAGGAGTGTTCAAAACTAAATATTTTAATTAGTGATCCTCAGAAATGAAGCCGATACTAATGCATTCAATTAGTGAATGCACCGTGTTGTCAAGGGCAGATAAAACTTGATTAAAAGTACTAATTGTGGGCTACTTTAGAATTTATTGTTTATTCAAACTTCGTAAATTCTTCTTCATCCAACAATTTCACATTTTTATGAACATCCATCATAAATTTACCGCGGATACTATAAAAACACTGTGGTAAGAACGGTCTGATCGAATTCAGACTCCAAATCATTCCCGCCTTTGATGTCGTTGGCCGGTTATCCAAAAGTCGACACAAGCCGGCCCAGCTGTTAAATCCGTTATCGCATGTCCCGAAAACGCACACACGCGAGATGAATCACCCAACCTTGGTTTGACCTCGCGCCTCCCGTTGTCCCGGCTGCAGCCTCTGCGCCCGGTTGCCCTGTCAACCTCCCGCCGAGGTTTCGGATTGTGAATGCACGCAGACACACGCACACGAAGCGGTGATTGCTTATTGGAAAAAAGTCGGTCAATTCTGGCACTGCCTCAGGATATCCCAAGAGTTTAGCATCAGTACTGCACGCTAATGACAGCACAGGTAGCCTGCATTAACCGCCGATCTGCAAAGTGTTCATCGGCGTTATCTGCTGATTACAGCTTGATATCCAGACTCAGCTTTGTTTAACAATCCTTTTGCACGTTTAACTAACTTTGAACACTCGTATAGTTTGGACTATTATTGGAAAGTTGTGTTGATACTGGAATAACGATCTTGCCGTGATTCGAACCTGCCCACTTTCAGATTCAAAGTAATCTACTTCTCACGGAAACCGACTCTACTTTGTTCTGTATTAAAGTTACATTTATGTATCTTCCACTTCTACCTGCAGAGACTTAAAATTGATACGAGTTTAATTATTGTATAACACAGTTCTAAACATCAACTTATTCATACAACCCGGAATGTCTGTGATTGTGCAAATTAGAGAATTTTTCATATTCTAGATCCGAAAATCGCGTAATGGTAACTCGTGTAGAATTTCAAGTGTTGCTGGGAAATTTAAGTCAACTATCTCTATTTACTGCATATCTATCTAGTCACGAACGTATTCTTGGAAGCAATGAACAAAACTGGTTGATATAATTTGGCGCCGACGTTTGATTTATAGCCACTAGTTGCTCCTGAAGGTCGCAGTTTCGATCAGTGCGGTGCAGTTTCTTTCCTTCTCCCTCAGTAACCTCGTAGGTAGGATAAACACGATACTGCCACCGAGGGCATTACCACACCTTATTAGCTTTCACTACTCATTACTTTTCTATGCAGTTACTGTTTGAAACCCGTTATAAGGAAAGAAATCACGCGGCGGTAGTTAATGACTGCTTATATGCATTATAACTTCCAAGCAATGGAAATTCGGTATGAGTAGACTTCGTAAATCGTTTAGTTTTCTTTTCTCCCTAAAACATTTCATATTATTTTGTAGATTCAAGTCAACTCATCAACCGCGAACTACAATCAGAGTAAGTTTATGAATTGGTAACTACCACTTAGGGATATTGAATTCACGGTTGTCATCCCAACTGATAGGCGTTTTGACTTCAGGCTCGGCCATCGTTAAAATTAGATGTGGTTCATTCATGACTCGATTCCGGATTCCGCATCGATTCCAAACAGATTAAGGCCGGTCGTAGCTGATCTGGAGATTTGTGGCAAAACGATTAAGATTACTTCAATGTTCGTGTGCTTGACCGACTCGGTGAGGATGAGATGAGACCCTCACCCGCTGGTGCGCGCGTGCGCTCCTCTTCACCTAACCTCCTCGACTGATGCATCTGTCACAATTACCCCAACATGCCTCCTTTGTGGTTTTGGCGAATCTGATCATCTGATTTGGCGTTGGAAGGTCGAAATTGTTCACTTTTAGTGCGAATTCTTCCACCCCACCCTGGGAGCGTTTCCTCCCAACCATCTAGTGCTGCGCTGCCGATTCCCACGCGGTTTGGAAATGTCACGTCCTCGTTGTGCTTCAACGAGGTCATGTTAATCGGCCTGCGAGCAGGATGTTTGGTCTCCGACATCGTGGGTGGCACCCAAACGCCTCAGCGGCTCGATACTGGTGCTGCTTGTCTGGGCCAGTAAATTCGCACTTGAGATCGAATGCAGAGATCTTTGCATTAGATCACCCGTTCCTTGGGTTACATGGGAGAGTGCATGTGGTGGGTCAGTGCGACTTCTCATGGTTTGTCAGCTCCCATTACCATACCAAGCCGGTTTCCTCGCAGGCGCGGGGCTGCAGAACTCATCGGCATCCTGCGCTTTACACCTGCTGTGTAACGCCGCCGCACCACCAATTGCTTGTCCACTTGCCCACAAATCTGTGGGTGGAGCTGAGGTGTCATTAAAGTTGGTCTGCTCTCATGAATATTCCTTTGGGCTCTCGTGTACATTCTGGCCTTCGGTAGTAGGGGGTAGTCGCGGCATCCTCAAGTCACTGTCTCATGAATCTGAATTGCGCCATACCCTAACGCTGGTGTTCGTCATGCAATCTCTGTCGGGCACCTGGTTGACTTTCGGCTTTTGTTATCTTTATATCACCAGGTCAACATTAGCACACAAGCATGAACTATCCGTGTTGCAGTATTTTGTTTGCATTAAAAATTGGCCAGCATTTTGAAATATTTGCATAGCAGAAACTCATTGTTTTTGGCGATTGGGGTTTTCAGTAAGTTGTTTCAGTGGGATAACTTATTTTAAACGGCAATAGTGAACCGAATGGTCGCAGGTTTAGGGGGCCTGCCAGAGGTCTGGTATTGTTATGCAGCTGATGTTGTCCTCCTGCACCCTCAGCCTTGAGGATTTTGTACGAAATTTGTATGACATTTGGAAACACGGTTGGATTATGGTCCTGTGTGCGCAGCTAATGAATGAATTTTTATCAGTCAGTACCGCTCACTGTTGTAAATGGTTCGAATGAACCTTGAAATTGATAAGGCTTTCTCCTCAGATTATATTGGGACGTTTACTTGGTTCTTCTGTCTTTACTTTTATCGGGTGGTTGTAATAGTAAATGAATTACTGTTAATCATGGACATGGGTCACTTTTGTTGTGGCGCAGTGACTTTCGCAATGCAAAACAGGGCTCACTTTGTGGTAGTTCTGTTATTGAGAAAAAAAACATTTATTGCAGAACGGATAATTTTTCACGAACGCACCAAATTGTGCTCCTGTTTCATTTATGCTTTAATATAGAGGTTCGTTGGAATTGTAGTGTAAAATTGAACCTTGGCAACGCGGACTGAATATAAAAGGAAATCACTGCGTGCACGATTTTGTTCGCACACCGGCCACCCTGGTTGTCAAGTTGTTCTGAAAATGAAAACTGCCAAGTGCGCACCTTCATCTATCACGGCTACTGGGTCGGATTACTCAGTTGAGGCTCAGTGTTAGCCCATTTAACTAAGATTTGAGCTACAATCGCGCATATTACCTAACGACATGCAAAGGGGCCTTTCACTGTGGCTTCCACCACCTTCCACGTGTTCACCGTGAAACAGCGTGCACGACCGCCCCTCGTCTCTCGCGGTCATGCCAGACGCCGTTGGCTGCTGCCTTTTTGCCTTCGTCGATTAAAACCGAATGCAATGACTAAGCCGTACCGAGAGGCGTGGAATTTTTCACAACACGAGCTACTTTGGCACACGAGGCTTTCTGTCCGTTTGTTTACGAAGAACCCACATCCTGTAGACTGTTTTTCGTGTTCAGAAATGATGGCCAATGGGTTTCAGAACCCTTTCCTTTTTAAATCAACAAATGTGCAGTCAATTTCAAAACGCTCATTTCAATACCTTCGAGGTGCTCTGTTTTACAAGGCCTAAAGTACTTTGATAACCTGGAATAAAATGATTCCAGTTACGTTACGAAAATTATGGTTACAGTGTCTATAAAGTCATTGTGATGGCCACATATCTATGGGACAGTACTTCGTGACGGCGTTCTTTGATGTTTTGGCAAAAAAACGAAGTAACCACTTTCCATTATCACCAACAATGCAGATCAGCGCAGATTGTAAATGTGTAATTAGCACCAGACATTCCAAGCAAACGTGGTTTGATGCTCACGTGCCACCTCAGCCTGACCCAGCCTGACCCATGAATTCCCTAGCTAAAGCAGTGTTTCTGTCTCGGTCAAAGACTTTGGCAACAGTCAACAAAGGCGTTAATAGCGACTAGCAGTAAGTGCCTCTCATTAAATATCCTACCGAAAACGCAACCAAAATAAAGCTAAAAGTGTGGGGTGTCACTTCAGTCAAGTTTCCGTCATGTAGCGATGTGCTTAGTCAAAATACGTGGATTTCACTTCGGCCATAATTTTATTTCTATATCTAGGCGAATTCCACCTCAGGTCTTGGGATCTCCTGATGGAGGGAGACGGTCAAGCGAAGGCCCTAGCAGTCCCATGTCCCAGAAGACCAAAGAAGCTGCTGCCCATGCTAGCAAACAGCTAGATGAATTGATGGCTTCGCTTCAGCAGCTCAAGGTACCTTGTGCCCAGCACAACTTTTTATTTCACTTTTGGTCAGTCGGTTGACCACTATGTTCAATTCGATGTGCTTGGTATTGGTTATTCGGCTGTTGGTTTGTTGCAGTTCCAACAGCAGCCTTCCTCCGACAGATCACTTTCCACTCGTCAGCGTCATGTTCCATCTCCATCATCCCAACGTGGTCCTCTCTATCAAAATGCTTCAGCATTTGTGGAGCAGCCTGCTGTCGAGGTAAACAGCCCTCGTCATCAGACTTCTACAGATGTTTCCTCCTCCTCCGCCTTCCCGCACTCCCCCAATGGAAGCGGAGCGCCGGCGCGACAGACCAACGGCAATTCAATTTTGTCGCAGTCAGAGTACCGTGGATCTCTCTGTCAGAAATGCTGTCAACCTGTTATTGGCAAGGTGAGCCTTTTCGACCCCCTTTCTTCAGCCTAACTTCAGGGAGCGAGAATAGCGCACACATAAGGTTGAACTGTATCACATTAGCATATATTGCCATCAACAATCTTGAATTCGTATCTATGTTCAGGTCTTGTCGTTAATTTCAAGTTGTGTTCAGTAAAAGTCGACAAATTAAAAATTTCAGAAATAGACAGTGAATTTGCCCAATTCGTTTGCATTGAGTTGCTTTCTGGTTGATAATTTAAACCCCATGTTGCACGAAGTGCACAAAGAGAGCCTAGGTCAGTAGACAGTTGTCCAAATTACGTGATTTTGCACTTGCCCGCACCTTGACTGTAGCGTTTCAAAGAGAACTCGTCGTGTTTTAAAGTTGATACTCTCCCGTGATTTCACAACTCTCAAATCAATGTATCGCCGAATAATCGTGCTTAAAGGAGAAATGAGGAGTATTGTATGGAATGCAGAGTGTCAACGCTTAGTAGTTTGCTGGCGTTGATTCGTCGGTTCTACTTATGGCAAGCAATTGTAGCGGATAGAACTGTGTGTATTTGTGATATGCACAGCCGTTCTCCATAATCTCCGTCCCCGTTCATATTACCCCTCCCTCAACCCCAACAGGTGATCACAGCTCTCGGTGGGGTCTGGCACCCGGAGCATTTCACCTGCGCCTACTGCCAGAAGAATGTGGTTCACGAATTCTTCTACGAGCACGAGGGCGCCCCCTACTGCACCGAGTGCCACCTCTCCCTATTCGCCCCAAAGTGCGCCTTCTGCGGTGAAGCAATCGTTGATGTGAGTTCCGTTCCCACTCCACCCCTCCACCCAGATTTCGCGTTTTTATTCACATAGACTCTATCGGAAAGTCTGGCAGTTTAACAGTTATTTATACACTAATTCCAAATTGTATACGTGTAGGTAATTGTCAATTCGATTAGCCAGTAGTATTGAAAATAATGTGCTCCGAACAGTGAACATATCGAACTTGAGTGTGATCCTCTTCTGGCCAACAAATGACGCTTGCAAATCGTTTGGAAACGAAGAGAACGAGTGCCATCAGATCACCTTGGTGGTGCGTCTTGCGGTGTGCTGTAGGCTCCTTGCCGAATGTATTCGACTGTAACAAGTCAGCTGGACGTTGACTCACTTGCTGCTTGTTGTTAATGCGTTTGTCGGCACTTGCCTTTTCTCCGCATAAAGTGAATTAAAAATTCAGCCGTAGACTGGTTGAAGGTCGGTGAGCCACAAAATACGATAAGTGTGAACCGACATCGCAGTGTAGTGTAAGGAGATTGTGTGTTGTAACTTGTCACTGATCTAGGCACTTGATTCCATTACACGACTGGTAAATTTATTTAGTCTGATTCGGTAAGTTGGCCTGTGCACTGCGACACTTCACACTCACTGATTTGAACTATCACTGCGATCACTTTGTGCAAAACGTTTCCACGAAATGCGCATGCATTGAGACCTCCTTAGGTCCACTGGGTTTTCGGTGCAAGCCTGCTAGGGGCGCAAGAGCGGGTGCCTGACCTGCGGTCGTCGTTGTCCTCTGTTTGTAGCGCTGCCTCGAGACAATGGGGTACTTCTGGCATCCGGAGCACTTCTTCTGCCAAGGCTGTCACACGCCCTTCGTCGAAAACGCCACCGCTCACGAACACCACGGCAAGGTCTTTTGTCCGTAAGTTGTCCCCTATTTGTCCCAAACTAAGAAATTCGCCGTGGTGACTTTGCTATGACTCCTGGGCTGTTCAGCCACAAGGCCCCCACAATTGAAGATCCAGCCTTAACTGTGGGATTGACCTGTTTCGAGTGTCCAGCATAACGTCTTATCACCCTGGCCTTAATACTTTTATGCTTTTTTAATGGCACTTCGCCTTGTGCACGTAGGAAGCAGCGTTGTAATGTTTGGCCCTTCACGAGATGCAGGTCCGTTGAGAGTAATTCCAAAATTTGTTTGTTTTTTTTATTTAGAGACTGCTACTATTCAAGATGCAGCGAACGTTGTGGAGGTTGTGGAAGGCCCATAATTGATACCTACATAACCGCCTTGGAACAACCTTGGCACGAAGAGTGTTTCAAATGCAAAGTGAGCCAACCTCTTCAGATTAACGTGAATTTTACGAATTAGTGGCTACTTATTTTGCATAAGTAAGCGATATAAGAGGCCTGTTGGCCATGACGTAGCTGGTGAAGGTCACGTAGGTGGCGATTTTCATATTTTGACATTCTGAAAATATTTCTAGCCTATGTAGGCAAGACGCCTGTATATGAATAACTCGTGTATCACTGCATCAAGTTCATATCAGATGTGCAAAGTCAAACTACTATATTAGCTTCGTGAAATCGGTTATAGGTAACGTTTAAATTAGAAATATTTTGGATACACATACCGTCTACGTGAATTTATTTGTCCTCTAGTTGCGCAGTATATCCCGATTATCTTGAAATTTTCCTGGAGGCTGTGTGGTCTCACAACAGAACGATATCCATCTCCTACATAATTTCAATACTAGTTGTTTTTCAGTAGTCAGGTTTCACAGACTTGCACCTATTCTAGGATTGTGGGATGAACCTAACTGGGCAGAATTTCTGCACAGAGGGCGGTTCACTGTACTGCGAGAAGCACCACCGTCGCAACTCCGGCATGATATGCACCGCCTGCCAGGAACCCATCACCGGCAGTCGCTGCATCAACGCCCTCGGGAAACGCTACCACCCCCAGCACTTCGTGTGCACATATTGTCTCCGCCAACTGAGCACGGGGACATTTAAGGAGCGCTTGGGCAAGCCCTACTGTGACCCCTGCTTCCGGCAACTCTTCGGCTAGCAACGCGATCGAATGCGTGCTTACTCAATGCATACGCGGTCTTTCACATCAATCAGTTCATAAAACTGCCACTGACATGACCCTGTCATTACTAATAATGTTGATAGTAGCTATTCTTGCATCCTTTGTAAACTTTATTTTTCTCCTTCCCTCATTTTTGTTTTCTTGCAAATTTATACCTGGACATAGTACATACAATGCTTAGCTTTACTTCGTTCACATGTTAATAAAACCATATGGTAATTTTATGGTTAATTGCAACGTGTTCAATAGCCAAACCTATTGAAAGTGTGGGGAATCAGGCATGTGAATTCGGATATGCTGCTACATTGCCTTTTGTATAGCACGTTAGCGCCATTGTGGCTTGGATTTTCGACTTACCCGGTTAAGTCGTGCTATTGGTGTCCCGTGGAGTTCTTTGCCTTTGGGCATCTCGTGACGAAGGAATTCACAAAACAGTGACCAAGTGGGAGGCGTGAAAATGTGAGCCAGACACTCTTAGTGGGTGAGGGTTAAATTAGTATTTGCTTTCGGGTGCTCCTCTGATTCGCCCTAACAGAAACACGTCTGGAGACCTAAAACCTCGTTGTCCCTGGTTGCGCTGCTATCCGCTACTTCTCACTGTAAACTCACACACTAACCTCAGAAAACGACAAACTCCTCCTGTATTACGCAAGCTTCTTTTGCATATACTGCCTGCATTTTGACTATAAAGAGTTGGTTTGCCGAGGAAAACCACATGGTTGTTCACTACTAAGCAAGCGTTGACGAGTGCTGGGGTTGGCAAACGTGTGTGTGGTTGCCGTCCCTTCAGAAAACTGTTTTGGCCCTTCAACGTAAGGCAAGGGCATTTTACTATAACCCACAATGCACCCGTATTTTGCAGACAAATTTCTGATGCTTCTATCATGCACAGAGTTTGTGAGGGAGGTTTCTTTCGTCGTTGCCAAGGCTGCAAATCCAATCAACGACTTGCACGATAAATAGACCCCATTCTGCTTTTTTAAGTGAGGCTCCCTGTATTTATATACACAAATTTTGACATTGCGTTAGCGAGTTTAGAAAAGGTACAGAATAAGAGAAAAGTGAATTTTCTTGTTTATTACAGGATTCTGTTCCTGTGGTCAACGGTTTCCACATACGAAGATGCAATAGCTCCTTCGAGTAGCTGCGTCGATGGACATTAAAACGAGAAGGGCGGCAAGGGCTGTCAGTCTAATCGCTAGAGAAACTCAGTTTCGATTTTTGCGAGGGACGCGATGGTTGTGGTGCTGCTCGTGATTGGTTATGGTTTGGTGCGAAATTCAGTTTTAAAGTGGCAAACCCAATTGCTCGATCAAAAAGGCTTCCTAGCCGGGAAAATTTAACTCTAACTCTGAAAAGCAAAGTAGTAGAATAAAAAATTTCCTAAAATCGGAAGAACTTGCCCAAAATATCCCCATGCACTGTAAGTAATCTGTGGTGTTTAATGAAGTAATTTCTAAGCATAGTACTTTTAATTGGTAAATGCAACCCCTCAATAATATGATGGAGCAAAGTGACTTGCAAATGTCCTGAGATATTAAGGAGGTTCGATGAATGGAGTGCAATGAAAGGATGTTTGTCTTCAAAATTCCCGGAGCATTTTCTGGTAAATTGAGTTCAGGGCTCTTAGGGGGTAACTGGGCCAACTTGACTCTAGTTTTCAAATTGTCTGGGTACAGGGAATCATTTTTACAGCGTGCATATTTCAATTTAGCAGCACCGCCTTAAATTATCGCTCCCCGACCGATAACCCGACTTTACAATGTCGACCAACTCAGCGCAGTATGGGAATACCACCACACACCTACAAATTAGTGGCTCACCATTCAAAGCACATGGCTCTGTTGTGAATCGAGTTCATTCACACTTGCTAATCCGATCACTTCAGCCTCCGACACAGGGTTCCCCTTTTCGCAGCATGTCGCCAGCCGCGCGGATCCTCAACTTCTCCCCCATTCACACGAATATTTATCTTGGATTATCCTCACACCTAGGTCTCGATGTTAGCTCATCTATGGCTCACACATCTGACGTATAAATACACACGCGTATACGCCACATTTGACACAACAACACCAGTTTTGGTAGAGATCTGAAGTAAACACTTGTGTCCACGTCCTCTCCGGTCTTTTTCTTCATCGCGCGTAGCAAGGAAGCGTAATCGGGCCAGAGTTAATTCAGTTGTCCCTGCGTGGTTCAAGATCACATGCTGGGGCCCACAACAGCTCTTTCAACACTTGAGCGCATCAAATGGCATGGTTTCATTCTAGGCGCATTTCCTTTCAACAATGAGTCACGACTCAGGGTTGTTTTTGAGGTGACCTCACCTGCATGCATTGTCTTCATTTTGCAACATTAAACTGAAATTTTATTAATCAACACTGTTCCACTGGCAAAAAATCCTTTCAATTAACTAAAGACACCTGATTACGCTCGAGCACTTTCCTTGCATCCCAGTTGTTGCCACAAATTTATTTTCGCTTAAAAATAAAGCTTTTGGGATCGTATACAACTCAAAGGCGTCTGATCATTTAAGTTATTCCCGCCGCACCGGTGATAGCATGGCAGAGAGCCCGGAAAACTCAGTGTTTATTAAACATTTCACAATTACAAGGACCCCAAGAAGCTGCTTTGCATTCTACTTACGCACAGCTTTCTATGTAGTAAATTAGCTCAATCCATTAGTGCTCCTGCCGTTATCCGTGTTCACGAAAGTATAGTGCTGGTAGTGTTACATTCTGTCGGAAAATCCCCACCACAAGACTTTATTTCCAATGCCTGTTTGAGTGTTCAGAGGCGTTTAGGAAGGGCGTGGTTTGCGTGCTGACGTGGGTCTGGACGTGGCCAGCCCTAGAGGACAGCACGTTTTCGCCTACCAGCTGGTGTCATCAGTTATAAGCTGTGGTGCTTTTGTTTTGAAGGACTTTTCAGAATAACAAGAAATCAATTCCCTGTTTCATCACAGGATGATTGAAGTTTGGCGGCCAATCCGACGGCGCACAAGCCTCTTGTCTGCTTTCCAGCGAGCATAGCAACATCTTTTGGCCAGTAATTTGCTTCAAGCAGATGTTAGGGCGCTAAGACCACGATCATCCAGCTCTTAGTAAAGGTCTTAATTGCACCACAAAGTAAAAGCACGCTATGTCTTATTATTTTAAAGATACCAACAGATTTTGACTGCTTACATTTTATGGAGCCAAAGACTCTTCGAGCGATCCACTCAAGAATTGTCTACAGATGAATGCGGGGCAACAGGAGGGTACACATTATGATTCCCTGAAAATGAAACACAACGGACACTTTGTATGTGCGAAAAATTAACAACTTCCAGTAATCTATCCTTTGGTATGTCATGAGACCAAATAGCAGTATGGATTATTTCCAGGAATTATAGTACACGTGAGTGCGGTCAGTCACCAATAGAGGATGCTGTCATCTGGAAATGCTTTGCGGTTAACTTGCACCCCCTCAAACTACCAACCACTTACTCCCATCTGATTGGTGGCTGCGGTTCAAGCGCGAAAGGGGCGTGCTTTCTCCTGATTGGTCAAATGTTCGCGCACACTCGATTAAACCCATGCTTTACCCAGAGGCACCATTTTCGCCTCGGTATGGCCTCTACAGGCAACGGTGCTACCGCTCAACTTCAGTCCCCCGACCAGCTGCTTTATTTATGCGAGGTGGTGCAAAAGTCGGAGGATTACGCTCGGCTTCACCAGCTTCTGGCCTACTGCCGCGACGCCGCCCCTCCCAGTGTCCAACAGAGCGACACGGTGGTCAAGTGCCTGGCGGTGTTGGCGCTTCTTGAGGGTCGATACCAGGATGTTTTCACCATCCTCCAGACCCGCTACTTCGCCCCCAGACATCATCCCCGTCTCCAGGAGCTCTGGCTCAGGGGTCACTACGAGGAGGCTGAGCAGGCAAGGGGGTGCTCCCTCAGTGCTGTTGGGCGACATCGGCTTCGGAAGAAGCACCCCCTGCCTCCCACCATCTGGGACGGCGAAGAGACAAGCTACTACTTCAAGGAGAAATCGAGGAGGCTGCTTCGACAACAGTACTCAGAGAACCCGTATCCCTCGCAGTGGGAGAAGAAGGAGTTGGCTAGACGAACGGGACTGACCGCTGTGCAGGTCTCCAACTGGTTCAAAAACAGGCGACAGCGTGACCGGACAGGCGAATGTCTTTCCCCAGCTTCGTCAGTGTGAGTATTTATCTATTATTTTTACCAAATTTTAAAAGCACCAGATCCTTTACAGGGCAAACGAGTGGCTTAGATGTTTTGCCGTCAACAACAAAAGGAACCGGACTACAAATTTAGTGTACATGTTTAGGATGGCATGCGGTTCGTTTTCGTCTGTGCAGCTCAGGGGTCTAGAGTTGACGTCGTAGCTGGGTCCCTCCGAAACTGCTAAATCGAAATTCAAATAAATGCCAAAACTTGTCAAGTGTGTCAGCACAAGTCAAAAGATCAACTGCATTCTTGCAAAGAATGACTCCCTAATTGAGTACTAAGCAAAATTTTTATTTGAATTGGTGTCGACCAAGGGGCTACAACATATTGCAAAGGTGTGTCGCAGTCTCCAATCATTGGCAGCATCACGGTCAGAGTAAACAAATCTAGGAGGTGAAGTCTACAATACCACTCGTCTTTATCCGCGCTTATTAACTACAACTCCACTGACTACGCGGTAGGCCATACAATAGTCTATTTGCGTTTGATAATTGGCAGCCCCGAACAATAGCCTAACCTTGGGAATATCGTTTCAAGAGACAGGGCAAGTCGACTAGAGATTGTGCACTATTAGTCACACCTCTTCATTCACTGTGTCAAAAACTAGCCCTTGTTCAGCCACAATGTAGGTACAAGGGTCTAGGTTGTGGCAAAACAGCCAAAACACGTTAACGTCCTGTAAACAATGTTAAATGTTTTTATTTTAATATTTGGGATCTAAACTCATGCACGAGGCTTTGTATAGTCTTCGTTTCACCCTTTTTGCCGGCCTTAACAAAAGAAAACATCGCAGTTTTAGGCCTTACACCTAGTCTAACTGGGTGTCCGTTAAATTATGGTTTTCTACACAAGCTAATTCAAGCAAGCTTCGAATTATGTATTAAGTAGCATGCGGCATTACAATCAAACGGATCAGAAAAAGATGCACATTTTGACAGGCACCATCAGAACCGGAGGAGAGGCCTCCGCTCTGGCAGACATCTGAAACTTCAGAAAGAGTTGTTATGGATGACACAAAAGTTGGTATGGCGTCAGTTTTATTCTTCTCGCTTGCAGCAAAATCTAAAAAAAACCAGCAACATCGGCGTAGTCTGCAGTTTATTGATGGAACCAAATTGTAACTCTTGGCCAATCTGACAACAACTTGGCAACCTTTGATCGGTTTTTTAAACTAAGAGTGATCATGTTTGGAATTTGACTGAATGTGTAAGGTACCTCGGCAAAATAACACTACCTCCGTATTTACAAAAAAATGTTACAAAAACCCAATCAAAACTCTTTTATTGAGTTTAAAAAAGTCGATTTAAGGCCTGAACTCTGAGTTGGCAAACAAGTGCCCACCGCTTTTTCCAATCAAAATCAAATAATCTTGACTCACGGAGTCTCGATCCACGGGAGAATGCAGTCATTTCAAGTAATGTCAAAGCGCTTGGTCAAAGTCCAGGCCAGTTTAGACCGAAATGCTCAAAACGATTGTTTGCCCCACCAACTATCCTTCACGCACTTCCTTATTAAAGCCGTGATTTCGCGAGCAGTTAAACGCCTAGGTGGATAAGGGTTTGCGGCTGCAAGCCAAAGAGCATTGAGTTGTAGATTAAACCATAATCGAAGTTAGTGCTGAGAAAAAAACGTACATGCAAATAAGCGGGGTCAGGTACAGAAGACAGGAGAAAGCTTCCGACGGTATTCCTTGAAACAATTCCGTTTGGAGGCTTCTTTTTTGGAGAACAGCCACCATAAACCAGAGAGGGTTAATACTCAATGCTACTACATGTCCTTTGGCCTCGATATTGTAGTGCTGGACAGGTCGTTCGGTTGGACGAAGTGCCTGCTTGTAGAAACTGCTGCCCAGGTTTGACGCAGGCTGCTTGCATGAACCCCGTCCGAGTGCTATCCAGTTAAATCAAACAATTATGACTATTATTAGTTTTTTTCCGAAAGTGGCTTACCTACGAAACTTGCACTTTTTGGCACGAAGTAATGTTGACATTTCCATAGACATTACCTTTTCTTCAAGATTTTTATTACCTCCATTTCAAAATTAATGCATATAATTACCTTAAAGTTGGTTACCACGTCAAGAAGTAGTTAGCCTTTGACAGGGTCAATTCAGATATGACCAACCAAGACGTAGATAAGGCAGGTGGACAAGTGACGAGAGACTTGTCATTTGAAGGGGGAGGGGTTCCGTTATACCATCAGTGGATTTGGGTCGAAATTTGCCCTCCCCCCTCAATGAACATGTCATCTTATTATTATTCAGCTGTGCCTAACTTGTCAGTAAATCAGGTGAAAACGATGGCCAGTCGCCTAACAGGGTTTGAACACTTTTCCCATAAACGGCTGGACAGTCAAGTGTTTGGCAGGCGTAGAGTTGAACCACCTGTCATTTGCTTCACCTAGAAAGCCTGATACTCCACATTTTAGCCAATGCAGACTCTCATGGCATGCCTCGAAGTAGTCATGACTAAAACTGTTGCTTCTCATACACAATTAGGCAGCTAAATTCCAGTGTTGCCTTCAAGGGAAGTGAGACCTAACGCCAGCTTTTGATTGTTTCGCCATGTAGTATCTGAAGCAATAAAATTAACCCATCAAACGTCAACACATATATTGATTCAACTAATCAACGAGAGGAAAACTTGCTACAAGTTTTTATGCCATCTACATTTCAAAGCAAGTTTGTATTTTCGTGGATAGGTGTCTGCTTATTCTTGCGGCTGTGGTCCCATTGAAAGCGACATGTAGTCATGGTCAACATTAAATTTGACAATAGTGGAAATGGAAAAAGTAGGTTTCAACTTCCGTAGTGAAGTAATGGTTTCAGATGGGTTTGTGTGCTCTTCCAGTAGAACTGCACATAACGAAATCGGATGTTTTCCCCAAAAGCGACATTTTAGCTGTGAATGAATCTCGAAATCACCAACATATTGCAAAATGCAAACTTTTAAAACAAGTAGGTGGGTTTACAGGGTTTTTGAGATAAGATGGTTGTTCTAGAAATGTCCATTTTCTCGCCTTCAAGATGAAAAGACAAGAGCCCCCTCTCATTTGCCGCGTTGTGGACACGATCAAACGAACTGTGGCAACATTTATTCCCCACCACCCCTAATTTTTGACGTGTGTAGATAAGACCACAAAGGCCATAAATCTGGCTGCAACATCACTGCGCTCTACCAAGGCTAGACCTCTACCCCGAGTGCCACCCACGTTGACTTTGTTACGTTTGAAATGTGTGTCCAGACAGTCAGACTGTTTTATTGCGCCATTCGGTACCTGACTGGCCACACTCAAACACTTCTCGAGACAGGTGGGGAACCCGCGGCTAGTAAACCACCTGGCCCCCAACGCCAGGCCTCGTTCTTGTGAGTCCAGACCAAATCACCGTGGCCGGCAGGAAGCCCAGCGCCAGCGGTCACACCTAAGTATTAAGCCCAGATGGCTTCATTAGTGTGTCGATTCCTGGAATAGTCAGATCGGCAGTTCCAGTAGTTAACTGGCTTCAGTCCTTCCTTTGAATCAGAATCAGGCCGGTGTTTGGTGAGATCTGAACTATCCAGCATGGATGAAATTCTCATCTGTGAGCTTGAAAATTGCGAAAATCTCGTTTCATTCCGCATTGTAACTACTTGATATTGACAGGAATAATTTTAGATTTGAAGACGTATCCATTCGTATTTTTTGCTTAAATTGACTGGAATAATCAAACAAATACTAATGTTTAAAAAAAATCCACAAAATACTATCTAACCTTACCTGACTTCTAGCCAGTAAGCTCACCTCTCGAAAAGACGTGCATTTGCTGTTAGTACAAAGCTCACAGAAAATTGAAACTTTTCAAACTGTTTCTATGGGTACAGGGTTGCGAACGTAACGACGCATTAATACCTGCGAAGTAGTTCGCCTAATTTTGGGAGAAAAGCCCACCAAAACTACTCCATCGCAAATTCACTACTTCAGTTGACTCTTTGCAGCCTCGTTAGTCAAGGTACTTCTAAGTCGAATTCATTCGCTGTATCTCTCACCTCGTCACTGTGTGATCCGGCTTTTAAAAAAATCATCCCTCTTAATTCGGTTGTCATTGCCCTCAAAAAATGCTGACATAAGTCATGCCATAGAAGTTTTGTTCGCGAAGATGCGATTAGAGACAGTGTTTCTTAAAATTTGAATTTTTACTGTCCGTGACACTTAAAAAGCGTTGATATGTTGATGGTAAGAGTCGTGTGTTGCCAAGTGTTTGTCGTTGTTTACTGAACCGGAGAAATTTACGAGGTGCTCTAACTACAAACACACGATGTGATTAGGGGTTGCTTGTGGGTAGGAGGGAAGTTCGACCTCGCAAATGAAACGAACGATGTGGAAACACAATCAGGAGAAATGCAACCTTAGTGATTGTGGTTATGGGAGGCAAGAGTTCCGTTCACACCACCAACCATTCATTTAGCATAATCGATATTTGGTTTATCGTGTGAAATTTGCTCACTGCACACACAAGGCAATAAAAAACCACTTGTGTGCTTTGTGGAGTAACTAGTGAGATCTTCCCACAGGTTGCGGCCCTGTGTTTTCATAGGATTTTACTAGTTTAACTGAAATTCATAAAAGGGCGAAATTTACAGGGTAACTGTCAAGTACAAAATGGATGTTTTCAACAGACTCATAGGTGCTGATTAATGTCTATGCGAGGTTAACTTTCAGCTAACGTGCTTGAATAACGCGTATTCTCAATTTTTCTTTACTTGGGAGTGGACAAATATAAACAAGGCGGCTCCTCGTAGTCTGACTCCTGCATGGCAGACGCATGTCATACGCGAGGGGGGCGATTCGGTTCCCTGGTTTTATTTTAATGACTCCCTGTCTAAGTTCTTAGTTGTCGGCTAAAACAACATGTGTAAATGTACTCAAATAGAGTATATGTGTGAATCCCACGCCCCTAATCGAATAAGCGGGTCCTAAAAAGAATGAACCGACGTTTAGTTCATACGCACGGAATCCGTATTTCTCCATGTTCTTGAAATATGAAACCTTTGTGTTGGAATATCTCAACAAAAACCACAAAAGTAACATGCAAATAGTGGTCTCTTGGAGTTCTTATGAGAGCTTATGGTGCACCTGTAGGGGGTATTACCTCCAACTACAAGTTTAAGCCTTTCGGGATTTCAGAAGAAGACCGAACCACAAATATTCATCCCTAAAAGACGCAATCTGCCACTTGGTGGAGGGAAGCCAACAATTACACTAATGGGATTCTTGATCTGATGCAAAACAAATTGAGCAGCATGTGCTTATTTAATTCTGTTGGGTAGTTTTCATTGACACCTTTCATTGGATTTAATCTCGTGAGCTTGTCCAAATAAACTAGCACAAGAGCGTTTCCAGTGTCTGTGATATCAAGCACAGAATGCGCATAACTCTGTTGTTGGTGCACCAATAACTGATACATGGCCTTTATTAGCGGTTTTATTGATGCGTTGTTTTTAAAAGAATAAATAAAATCAGCTTTCCAAATGAGGGTTCGCTTTCCAAAACTAGGTGACTTACTTTCGAATCAGCCTTAAAAAATCCGTTTGATAGATTTGCTTTGATATTTTGGTTTGCTTGACCTTAGAACCTTTTAATTAAGGACAGGGGCGACTGGATTTGTCACAGATAAATATGGGACAAAGATATTAGAAAACTAACTTTAAAATGAGTAAATGTTTGCCTTTGAATGAGGAAATTATTAGAACCGTTATAGTTCTCTTAATTGGGGTAAAATATACAAGTAAACCATTTTCTCGGGTATTTACAGGAACATCACTGGTCAAGGATGCTTTCTGACCAATAGTACTTGAGGAATTTCGGTGAGACAATGGCGAACAAAGGTTAAGTGATGTGATCGGGCTGTGTGGTATTCTAGTGCAACTCCTCCGAGCAAAACAAGTGCCTCGTAGTTGTTTAGGAACGAAAAAACGTGATGGTGGTGGTGGTCGTGTAGCTGCATTTACATGCCCATGAGATTTACGAATTTATATATTTTCGTCGATTCCAGAGGATTTGCGCACGCCCACCGATCAAACTTGTGGATCCACGGAACAAAACCCAAAGGACACTATTAACCAGCCATCGGTTCTTGCAGTTGCATCGTAACAGTCATACCCAAAAATTACCGCCTTAACTCGCGGCTGAGCTTGCATTTCGATGTCTTGCCAGTGATAGACAGCTGATCATAATCTTGCCAGTAGGATTTTTCTGCTGCCTATCTTGTTAATTGGAGGCTCGCTAGCGAATACCAAGAAATTAACGAAATTGCAGTCCATCAGTTCTCTAGTGAGTACAATCAAATGCGCCCCAAATGCTGTTCTATTGTTAGCGAACTACTTGATTCACTGAATATTCACGGTTCCGGAGACTGCAAAGAAGGAACACCCTAACCCTTGTGGCAGTGATGAATGAATACGAACCGAACGAGTAGAATCACTTTCTGGTGTTCCGCGCCATGGTGCACAGCTTTTTTATTCAGCAGCAAATCACGTGATGAGAGGAAGCTTGAAGTTCTTCGGACAAATCTTGACATTCGGCAGGTCATTGGACGAAGGTCGCGAGGCGACGACAGATCAAGGGATCAGAACTCGAGGTTTACTGGGGGATACAAACCAACAGACTGGCATGCCTAAGGCAGAGCTTCTAATTAAACTGCTGCTCCATTAGGATGGCTAGATAACCAGCCTAGCGCAAGAAAAGTGACATGAAGCGACGTAACATAAAATAGCCTCTTCTGAGTTGGAATGCATGTCTTCGCCACTTGTAGCTGCACTGAACGATGACACCTAAATGGTTGGTTCATTCCTACAAACGTCACTAGTGGTTCAGTGGCTTCAGTATCTATAATATATGAGGTAACAACTTAAAGGCATAAATACCACCTGCCGATATGATGTATTCAAATTTTAACTTACGTGTTCTTTCGTAGGATGGTCTTAAAACGACTGGATCATGCAATACCTTTTTGCAGATAAGTTTCTTTCGTTCATAAACCGATTCAAGCAGAATTTATAGGTTTTTTTTCGTGGAATTAAGTGCACAACGCACGCCAAGCCACTTGCATTAAGAACACGGTTACGTCGGCATCTAACGATTGGTGATTGTCGAGACCTTAACATTTTTGTGGACTGAAGGGTTGCAGTTAAATGAGGGACAGTGCTTTAGGTGGGAGGCAAATGTGATTGCATGCGTGACTTTTTCTTGATGTAGAATAAATCTGGCTTCCTATTGCCACACGCAATAACAGGCGCCACGGTTTACTTTTCTCGGTGCACCTGATATAATGATCAATTGCAAGGGCCGAAGGCAAGGGCGAGGCGGAGAGAGAGGGTTGCAAGTTGCTGAATCATGATTGTTGCGAGGAGCTTTTTCTGCTCCTCCCCATCACCATCACTACCACCACCATCTATCCTTTTTGTCGCCCGTGTCGTCGTGACTAACATCTGAATCACTGCACAACCTGAGTGGCGTTAATGTCCTTTTTTGTGCTTATGCAGGCACCTGCGCAGTCGCACGCAGCAGGTGCAGGCGCGAGCACTTGACAAAAACCTTATCATGACACCAGGTCCCACTCTCCCCTGATTGTAATGTAGGGGTTTAAAGGTTAACCGGGGTGATATGGTGTGCGCCTCTTTCTCTTTCCCTCTCTATGTGGGCAGGAGTCCCGTCCATCTATACTATTCACACGGTTAAAGATGGGTTAAAAAAGAAGGGGCTCGTGAGGTATAGTGGGATTGCTAGGTTAAGGTGTGTGTGTGTGTGCCAGTGATACACGAATTGCTGGACAGCCTTTTTTAAAACGATAAATCATGCACGGAGCCCATTAAAACATCCCTATAAAAGTGGTAGCGGCAGCAGACATCGCCAGGCACACATGTGCGCGTATTTGTATAAACATTCATACAAGAGGAGGTTTAAAAACTGCCGAGCGTGGAGGAGAGGAACAGAGGAAATGCTCCCACAGGAAAACAAACCCCGTCTCTTTGGCATTCGGAAAAAAAGTGGTTTGGGGTAGGTACTGCTCCTTCCTTTTATAATATTGTGCACTTTAACTGCACATATATGTAAATGTGCATGAACACAAATACATTAGGTATGCTGCTTCCGTGGGGAGAAATCGCTTTCAACCTAGACAAAGCGGTGCCGATAGTGTCGTAAAATTTGGTGGCTGGGGAGCTAGTCAAATAATACAGAAGCCAAAACATTCAAACATGTTCTCCAAAACGTACTTGAAACTCTCCGTTTCTACAGATGAGCGACTGTACCAGTCCATTCGGTGGTCAAGGTAAAGTTATGTGGTGTCGTTCACCAAAGAATTCCTTTTCTTACATGAACCATTTGTTAAGAGGCCAAATGTATTTTGAACCTGGCCGCTAAGCCTGTGTGATTGCGCGGTGTCGAATTTCCATCTGATTGCAAACGCGTGAAAATTTTCGACTGCCTACCGCAGGTGCTCATCGGATATGCCTCCACTGTCTTTGCCGCGTTACTCCGAGAGGCCTTCTCAATTTTCAACTTGGAGCTACCATCGACTGCTGGCATAAGTGGAATGGACTTTTGGGACCACAGTAATAAGGGGATGGCAAGGTAGTTGAAAGTAAAACGGCCATGGTCCGGAACTCAAAGCATTCTTAAGTGTTCTTTAACTGAAACCTTGAAGATATTATTAGAAAAAGAATATTCACGATTTACCCCAGGTCAACACTGCGTGTTCACATTTTTGACTGCCCAAATGTGTAGAAGTTCCACTCTCAACTGAAGCAGGGTGCTCAGCGGACCAAGCTAAAGGGTTCCTGACCATAAGCCATTGGAGAAAGACGCTTCGAGTTAGACACTTCATTTTATGTGTTTACGTAACTCCTTCATCTTTCTAACCTTATGATGACACCCTCCAAAGGTGCATTTAGCATTCGGTCATTGGTCTTTCTAGCGGTGAACATTCACACGCAATGCTTATGGCTGCCATTCCGATCCAAAGCCCATGGTTTACGGATCTGAGCTCAGCTGATTGGTGGCATCTCTCCAGCAAAATTAAGGCAATGGAAGTCACTGAAAATCTGTTCAACCGTTGAGAACCACAAATTGGTGTTTGCACAAGCTCAATTGAATTATCATTTTTGAGGCCCCACAATGTCTTTGGAAGCAGTTAATTTCCTGTGCTTAAAGGAAAATGAACGGCGATTTGCGTTCAAAGATGAGCAGAAAATATTGCAGGGTTGGATTGTTTTTTCACGAGGATAGATAATAGCGAGGCAAAATAATGACATACACGCATTAAATATTCTGGGTAATTCAGCTTCGGTTAGATTGTACTATTCTTGTTTTGGGTTTATTTCAAATAGCTCTTTTGCAAATAGTTCCGCTCAGAATCCTTTTCAAGGGAGGTTGAACACATTAGACACTTTTAGTACACTAGAATGAAATAAACTTTGACTATTAGAGATTAAAACACACAACATTTTGGAAGAGCACTTTGAAAGTTCTCACTCTGCCATGAAGGCCATTTCCACAACACCCACATTACGGTGCGTGCTGGGAACATTCCTTTTTGATGCGAATGCCATGATTGACGTTAGAGATTTAAACAAAAACATTAGTAAGTACGCACAGCGATGGCCTAAACTTTGCTTGTGATGATACATGGACAAATATCGCTCTTAGTTGCCTTCACCGAATGCAACTGTCGAAAAACAGAATACTTGTAATTCTACGTTTATTTTTTACTAAAGCTCAATCTAACCATGATGTACTAGGTAGCAATTTGAAATAAAAGATGTTTTAAAAGTTTTTCCAAAAGCACTGTGATTATGATTGCTTGTTTGGGTAATCATTAACCAAGTTGGTGGCTAAGGTCAACTCGCAAAAGTCTAGGTTAATCCTCAACACGGGCTTACCTTGGAGTTTGCAATAAACTACGGGAATTGACAAATACATGTGAAACCAATCAACAGGGACAATGGGATTGCATTTGATGTAATCGCCTAATGGTAGGTTGATGATAGCAAAGACGTGACGGTCAGGCTGTTAGTCTTCCTACGACTTTACTAAAAACTGACACCTGAACTCTTTTTGGCTTGGTGAAAAGGCGAACAGTGACTTGCGGTGGGTATTAAAGTACACGCGGGAAAATCATGCTGATCCCTTTGTAAACAGGCACAGTCGTTTTTGGGTCAGCTCCGATTTAAATATTCAGATTTATATCTAGGGTCTGGCAATAATTAATTATGAAGCCCTACAAGTTCAAATGTCAATTTAGATGACCAACTTCTTCCATTATGAATGACTCCGGAAAAGTGCCTTAAATGTTAAACATTTATTTATTTGCAGCACCTCCACCTCGTCAACATGGAAAGTTGCTGCATCCAAACCTGGTCTTGAAGAACCTAAAAAATGTGAAATTGCTCCTTGTCGGAGTCAGTCCTGCTTTCAAATTTCTGAAAATTCGAATCAGGTGTTTGATGAGAGTGGCATGCACACCTCGTGGAATGCCAGCCAGGGGTACCTGCAGAACCCTTCCTTCCTGGACGACTACGTCTACAAGACCTCCCAGCAGAGCTACGTGGGTCTCAGCGCGTCAGCCCTGTACCAGCCGACGGGGGACTTCGGAGCGGTTGTCGCGTGGAGACCCCCCGACTCCCCGGCCCCGGCTCCATTGCGGTGCTACGAGCGCTACTCAGGAGGCTGCATCAGCGAAGAGTACAACAGCACACCGCCGACCGTCTTCAACCAGCAGTCGCAGCAGCAGCAACACCCTCAGATGGCCCTCCATTGGACCGAGTAACTTTGACAGCCACGCACAACGGTTCTGTGATATGGCGTTTTTACTAATACTTGAGTTTTGTTACTGTGCATGCCAAACGGAACAAAACATACACATGAAAGTACTACAGAAGAGCGTTCCTTATAAAACTGGGCTGCTAATCCGACTAATTAAAAGGGCTCTTTTCAAGTTACGACTTAACGACAATTCAAGCCTGTACTTCTTAGCCACACTGCCAGATAATTTTAACAACGTCCAGATCCGAGACATTTGGTCATCTTTTTGACAAAACACGTACAATATTATGTCAGCGTTAGTTTATTTTCGTAATTTTAACACTTCACATCCATGAGATAGATATTGAAAATTCCCACACATTTGCTTCTTGTTAACATTACCCCCTAAAATTTTGAGGGAAAATTGAACGAAATTTATCTATTTAATAGAAAAAATGCAGATGAATATATTTTTGATCATTAATGCCAATTGGTTGGCACTTTTTGTTGTAATAACCTAAACATTGTAGGCATTTATCTGTTTTTGGACTTATCTACCATGTGTTGAAAGATCTTAAAAGTAAACCCAGCCAGAATCATTGAACGAGCCTCTTCAAAAGTGAGCCAAGGGAACTTAACGAGTGGTCCTCTTAACTTGGCGCTTCGTCGAATGAACCAACGTACGTTGCTAATAGCAGAGCTGATAGCCTCTCCTGATTTTCCAGCTTGTGCTGTGACGTTGAAGGCGCTTTGTTTTCCGATATTAATTTCAACACCACAACTATGTAGTCTTAGTCCCTTGATGTATTCTTTGTGCCTCATTATTTTGTTTGGGTCGAAATTTTCGGTTTTTTTATTGTTTTTGAATCCAAAAACTGGTTTTAGCAACTCTGTATGAAACAAAGTTGCATTCAAGTTAATCTTTATTTGCTGTCAAATGCTGCGTTATTTCGACAGAGAGAAGGCAAAGCTTAATTGATCTAATTTGGAAGTAAGTGAATATTGTAAATATTTTAAAAGCCTTATTTGAAAACGTACATCACTCTCTACTATTGTAATTTAAGTAAAAATAGTGAGGAAGGCCAGCTACAGAGATTCAAGCTATCCAAATCAAAGAAGTACAGTGATTATGTATATTTAAGAGCTTTGATATATCAACAAAGGCGTCATAGTTGGAGTAATCATAGTGTATAACTAACTGGAAAACCGTTTATTTACTTTGTCCCATGCTATCCACGTGAGCACCACAAGCTATTTATAATGATGATCGAAATATAGTTGGATAAAGCTGCAATCCACACTTCCAATGTGAGAAGTTACATTTACAGCATGGACAAATCCCCAGCTAGCATTCAGAGGCAGCATCTATGCATGCTTGTTGCTTTCCGTGTAGCTTAATAACGTTACCAGCTGCGTTGGCGATAAAATTAGGGTCAAATTTAAAGCTATTTAATTAAGAAAAAACTAATTAAGATCGGAAAAGCAAACCGTATTTTGATTTAGCTAGATTCATATACTACCAGTAGGGAATTAATTAAAAGATATCTTCAATAAATATTGGTTGCAAGAGTGCATATTTCTCTCTCACACCTATCAAAAAAGCATCAGCCAGCTAAAAATAGCGCATAGCACGCTGTTGTCAGGGGCGGTCGAGGTTTGCTCATTTGGGCCCCAAAGTTAGTCGAGTTTGTCTTTTGTTTACCGATAACTTTCTTAATTTTTAAATTGCAGAAGATTAGTTCCATTTATTTGTTACTTAAAGGAAATTATATACACATCCTGAATAAGAGGGGTAAGAGAATGCTGAGGAGCAGAACTCTGGTTGTCAACGCGTTACTCAACATTATACAATAAATTATGAGATAATATTTTCATTTGTAGAGTAAACACAGTTCCAGATCATGTTGCGTCTGAGATTTGCATAAAAAAGTAAAACAATAAATTACATAACTCTAAGAGGTCTAACTGACTTAACGAAACTACATAATGACTTGCAGTCAACGCGACAGAAAAATCAACTTCTCAAAGTACGAACAATGTTAAAAGGAAATGAAAGACCAAAATAGTTAGAAAGAAACACGAAGTCCGACTTATCAGTAAAACTACCGTCCGCCAACACGTCAGTTTACGGACTCACACCACAATCAGACAACTTGGACATCGGAAACAAAATTGCACCACTGCATGTCTACCATGGCATTGGCGATTGACGCTACTCATCTAAACAAAACATTAACCCCTATCGTTTCGAACATTTACAAATACAGCTATAACGTCCATAATTGTGTGTTCCTATGCTTAATAGTTCGGTTCCTTCTTTGCTTCATGCTACTACAGCAGCATAAAGTAGATGCCTTTCTTGGAATAAACAATCACGTAATTAAATTAGCAATTTTATTAAAATTGAAGCAAGCTCAAGGATTTTTTCTAGTTAACCCACTCCACCTATCCACATGCAATTCGCGGCATTATTTCACAGACGAACTAACCCAGATTCGCTATGTTCACGTCTAAAACCATCGAAGATTCTTGTTCGCCGTGCTTCAGTTCACTGCACAGCCAATTCAACTTCTTCAAAGATAGGCCCATGAAGAAAAAGATTCTTTTTGGTCCCCATCTCCACCACGTACTCACATGCCCAATGCTAAAATGCAATGAAGGTGCCATCCAATGACAAATGAGGATTTATCCCCACCATCAAAACGATGTCATTTCATCAAAAGCTTGAATGGTTCAAGAAATTCGAAATCGCAAAACCGCACAATGAATTCGGGATCTCCAGTCAAACATTCTCGTCATAAATTGACATCCGTTCTACATCCCACAGGCCCCTAAAAAAATAAATCTAGCGCAGTAACAAGCATTGCCCAAACAAACAAATCCTTGACGCCATCTTGACCTAATTTTATTAGGTAAAATAATTGGGAAAAGGGGGCTGCGATGAGCGACGCATTCGAATACACTCAACATCGCGAAAAAGCTTTTCCACGATAGACCTGAGAACAAATGTGCACACAATCGATATTGAGGCGTGGTAGCCAGAGCTAATAGGATCATACAAAGTAGCTCAGATCTCCCAGATCGTGGGGCAAATGGGGCTAATTTGATCAAGCATGCCAAGTTAAGCAAACACGGGTAGTACGGCTACAGATTGAGGCCTGGAAAGA